TGTTAGTAAATAACGCGTGAAATAATTATATTTCTTATCAATAACTCTTGTATGCCATGCGATTTCTTGCTTGCAAGAGAATTGTAGTCCTTTTGTTAGAATTTGTTTTTGCGGATGTAAATGGCAAAGGCGTTTAGCTGAAAGTCTTATCGAAATATCAATCAATTGTTATAACTAAGGTATTTATTCTTTTGATCACAAATACGCTGTGACGTGTAAGCCATTCAGTAAAGTAGTACAGTGTGGCCTTACGCAGCGGAGACCGGCAGCTGTTGTAGACCGTGTGGTGATGGTGCTGGTGCTGGTGTGCCGGTGTTGCTCGTGCTCCACTGGAGGTGTATTGATCAGACCTACGATGACGGGGACGATGTTCAGCTGCGGTGGCTCCCCTGCCTCTCCCCTTCTCGTGTCCCCTCTCTGCTCTCGCCCTGCCTGCCACCGGTCCTGACACGCGACTCTGATATCCTTCTGTCTTCGCGTCGTCTTATCCTCGTCTTTCTCTCGTCTTGCCACAGTCTTTCTCGTTTTCTTGCTACTGCCTTATACAAGATGTGTCAGTAGCGTCAAACCATTGCTTGCCCCAAAGAACAACGTTGATTCATCGCTCAGTCATCGCAGTGTAGTACAACTTCAAGCAGCAATTCGCCGACACTAAACCAGACCTTGCCACCATCGGTCAACTCGCTGGTACCGCGAGAGTTGTCGAAAATCTTCCTCATGACAATTCGTCGTCGTTAGTGTTACCATATTATTATGAGCTTCGTATCAGCCTCGAAAACACATACATGTCGTTGAAGTTTATCATGACATTGATTTTTTTGCATAAAATTTATTCCTAATGAAGGTTACCCTCAAGTTATGCACCCCTTAGTACGTATTCATAAAATGTATAAAAATTCTCAGTAGACACTAAATTCGGGATTATTTTATCATGCGTATGATATTTTCTGAGCTACAATTGACGAATTGAGGACTGATTTCATTCTTGACGCTAAAATCATAACGCATTCGTTTTTATCTTATTTGCGTACTGCATCTGTAAGGTCCCTATACTTAGTTTAACGCTGCTTGCTCCTCTCAAAGTCTTTTGCACCTGGCCTTTGTGCCAATAAAATCATTGTTTAAATATCCTTTGTTTAAATATCAATATGCATTGTTGTTGAAAATTGTAAACCATACGCTTGCAGGAAAACCGTCGATAATTCAATGATTTTATCCATCGAAAATCATCGTAAAAAGGCTTTTAAGATACATCCGAGTATCAGTGATAACACATTTCACGAAAACCATTTCATTGGCATTTGCGAATGCAGTCGGATACTTATCGCTTTACGATCGGTATCACAGTTATCGCAGAGGAAATCCGTACTGAGATCCACTCCGTCTTGGGATGATAGTTGAAAATGGTCATGTAAAATATGCATACAGATAACATGTTTTGGCTGCCGGCGATGTGATAATTTATAAATTTTTACGTGAAGACAAGTATAGTTCGTACAGAGAACGTTTTATTTAAAAGATCTCATTTGAGTCGATCGTGATTAATTGACGTATTCCCAATTAAGTATATTCCCCAGACGAGATGTGCAAAATTTGTCAGACGAGAAATATTTGAATCATGGAGGCAGGAGGCTTGCTTTTTTTACCAGCGCATTACTGGGCTCGGGAGATGTTAGGGGCGTGGTGTCTGTGAGAGTCAAGATCAGGCTTTCTATAACGGCTAAATATACAAGAATTGTGCTGTGTACATAAATGTATTTAAGCGCACTGCCACACATGCATGCAGGCATATATAGTATTCACACGCTCAGCAACATAAGTAGATATAAGCATTCGTTTTATCGTGTCCTTGCATGCACATTCTCAAGCGCAGCCTCATGAAGGGGATAGCCGGAGGAGGGGAAATCCATATTTTACTGTGTATCCGAAGCATCTGTTTCAAATATTGAATTAATATTAAATATTTAAGTAATTTAACTACTATTAAGTGTAATACCAAGGCATAGTTTTGACACAAGTATTCAGCATGCGATATTAAGCTACGATAGCCATGCAGTATTACGGTGTGTCATCCTGATTAAGAAGTACTATTTTTCTCATTTGAAGAACTTGATCTATATATTTGTCAGGTTTCGGCCGTAGTGGCTGCAATGGCACGTGAGGTCCTCTATCTGGCAATAAGGAATTAAGTACGGGAGGGTAAGAACGACACATGGAAATATTCAACACTTATCTATATTATAAAAATAGGTTTTTATTGATCCGTAGTTACGGCTCCGCCGTAGTTATTGTTGATCGACAGTCTCGCGGAACCTTCATGAATCCTTGTGTTGGCGTCCATTTGATGGTGTTTATGGATGCGGCTGTGCTGGATACAAGACTCTTAAGAGGTATTTGGAGTAGAGGTTGAGGTCACCAGAGCAGGGCGCTTTTAAGAAAAGCCCCGCGTCATTCAGCTAATTTTTTCAGTTTTCTCCGATGGTTCCTGCAGCCTGATCAATAAACTATACATATTACAGAGTATCAAGCGTTCAAGGAGCTTTCAAACAGCTTGCATGCACATGGCTAACTGTAAATACGAGAGTGGCGTCACTCACCGTGCTCGTTGCTGCATGAGGAGTGGCAGCTACAGGTAAACATGACTACCTTCGGCAGTCAATCCCGGGACTCGAGATCCGTAAAACGGCTGAAGTCGAACGATGCTGGAACGTTGGTCTAGTAGTTCTCATCACACCAGGAGCTGGTTAATTCGAGTCTTATAGAAGATTCTCTGAATGGCGTCGTGATTTCAAGCTCGTCCGCTATTGTAGGTTCCGAAATCTTTGCTCAAACTCATATGTGTTCGCGGGTGTCTTCGGAATCCTGTCCTTAATCTTATGTTGGCTGGTGGTTGCAAATCTCGTCGTTCGTCACTTTCGTTATGCTTCCCGTGGCTGTTTGTCTTAGCACATTAACACTCTACTCCGACCACCAACTTGGGCACGACACCCGACTCTCGTATGACCACGCGGACGCTCAGTTGGCTCGCTGGCTCGGGACTGACTCCTAACGCACCCCCAGCTACTTATACAGTATACCCCGCAACCCGCAACGTACCGTCGCTTTGATTTTTCCCGAAACAATCCAGAGTTTTTCCCCCATGAACAAGAACAACCATTTTGCTTTATATCTTACTATTCGCATTCTCCCCCAAATTAAACCCTAATTAATTTATATTCGTTATTCTTACTTTTCAATCAATTCGATCATAGCTCGCGCGGTCGTCCGCATGTGTTGCACCGGCGCAAGTCACCTTGCGTGACGTCACGCAAGGTGACGTGCGCTTTGCACTTTTCGTCCCACTAACACGCAGTCCATTACTCAGGCATACTCCAGTTTTATTATCAATTTTTGCTTAAGTAATTTTTCGTCAGCCGGCGTTATATTTCTTTCGTTATAAATCTTTCGTTATTTCTTTCGTTATAAATCCTAAATCTTTTAAGTTGAATTTATAACAATATTAATCATGCCTTTTAAGGTCAATAGTATCGATCATATTATTTCTATAGTACTTATAAAAACACTGATAAATGGTGACGTAAATAATACCATAGGCTTTTTAACTAGCTCCACAGTCATAGAATATGTCACTTTAGATGTGAGATTAAAAAGAACTAGAGAGCAACCACCAGAAAAATCCTGCATTGCATAAAGTTCGCATTTCGTTTTAAGTTATTCTCGCTAATATTTTTGCTCACGTTTGGCAATTTTTTTAACATAGATTTTGCTAAATAAATTTCACTGTTTTATCTTGGATTTATAAACACTGTATTTATAGTTTGGATAATTTTTTGCTTCTGCGTTACTGTACTGGTAATTTGCACACTGAAGCTTTTTTTAATCGAATATTAAACATGGGTTCTTGAATTTGCATAATTTTACTTGATAGTTTAAATCAATCAATCAACTTTTCTAGCAAATGCAGCAGTTGTAGGCTCACGTAAGAAGGTCAAAGTTATTTGTTCATTTCATTTAAATTTATGAGGACAACAAACTGAAATTGTTTTTTGGAGGGCAGTGTTATAATTCTTACTTTTATGCCATTAGTTGTGTGTAGTGTATGATTGATGCATTTGTTCTGACTCATGACATTCATGACATAAATTGTTCTCCCAATAGCATGTTGGGGTGAAGAACTTAGACTATTTTTAGCTTTTGCAGTCGTTCTTTTTATCGGTAAATTTATTAGCATAAATGTGCCATGAGCAGCTAGTAAAGTTTTCTAGTGTAGCTATAATTCACGGATGTCCTCTTGAACGACACGCTCGACCTATTAGTTTAAGTAATTATGTTATTTATGTTATTTATTATTATATAGTTAAATACTTTATCATGTTTGCAGGTAGTACAGTGCACCTACAGTCGGGGACTAACACCACTTCCAGCGCTAAGGTCACCCCCCGCAGTCGGTCCCTCCTCGCCGTGTACCCGTCGCCGCCCCGAGATCTCATCATGCCCTCCACCGAACTGACGCTGGGCACCTAACGGCCAACTCCTGACCTCCGTTCCGTCTCGTTGCTACATCATCTACCACACTCACAGCCTTCATCATTACCCATTCTCGGGAGGACGCGGCGTAGCTCATCTGTGTCCCTGTCACGTCTACTGCGATCCTCGCGCGCCTCATGCGTGGCCCTGAACAACCACGTCCTCGCAGTTCGTTGACGTCGCTGTTTTGTCACACGCAACGCATTCTTCGTCTCTGTCGGCTATCTTGTGTATTATCTTTCTCCATTGTGAAATTTAACTCGTATTGCAAACTGAAAATTCGTATTTAAAACTCGAAACCCATTGTTGAAAGTGAAATACATGTTAAAACATTGGTGCCCAAGGTAGTTAGCGAGTGACGCTGCTCGAGTGCTTTGCGCGGTGAATCCTGAATTGTGAAGTGACAAGTGCTTCTGCTGTTTGTGGCGTGCAGCATCACTATCAGTGCAGCACCACTATCAGTGAAGCATCATTATCAGTGCAGCATAACTATCAGTGCAGCATCACTATCAGTGCAGCATCAATATAAGTGCAGCATTACTATCAGTGCAGCATCACTATCAGTGCAGCATCACTATCAGTGCAGCATCATTACTAGTGCATCACTTCGTCTGTCCTAGGATACCCTGGCTCACTGCTGCTCCGTGCCACCCACCACCCTCACCACCATCATCCCCCACAGGCCGTCATACCATCATACCTATTCTTCTGCCTTGTCAGCATTTTATTGCTTCGTGCATTCCATTTCTATTCTCCTTTAATATATTTATTATTCGTTTTAATATCACTCCCTCCGTTTTGCTTCTCTTACCATAGTTTTTCATTTACAAAACCTTCCGAATCTCTTTGAAAATCGTACAATTTTTTCTTGCAAAATGCTTTAGTTCATTAAGAATATCTCGGCAAGGTTTACCTTGAAATATCATTGTTCTCTGTACGCTCGATGTTGCGTTGCCGCTGTTCGCTGCTGTGTCTTGCATGTCCTTACATCCCTTCACTCCTCCCGCAGTTGTATTCCTCTTGTTATATTTTAACGAGATCCAAAACCTCAATGTTGGGGAACTGATGTGACCACCAACACACTTCCCTTCCGCTGTACCCTTCCCCCCCTTCGACGTCATCTTCCTCTGTCCATCCCGCCCATTTTTTACCTGCCAATCTCATCACTTTCTGTACTTTGGCTGCATTATTTCCATTGATGTATAATTTTTAATATCTCAACGAACCATTTATTTGTAACAACTTTCGTTTGCACTGTAGAACTTACATAGATATTTTTTAGTTATCTTTTATTTATTTTGCATGTCATGTTTGTACGTTTATAATTTGATTGTCTCGCCCATCCCTCGGACGTGAGGCGTGCAGAGAACTAGAACATCAAGTGATATAAAGCGCTGGCTCAAGGCCCCATAAGATGCCGAGCCCTCGCTCGTGAAGTGGGCTAAGTAGCACACGTTGGTATGGCGCGCCGAGGGGAGTGTGGTCGCCAGGTGGTGGTGTCGGTGGTGGGTGTGTCTGGCGGAGAGCGGGAGAAGGGCGTCACTGGAGTAGGCAAGTCCTGCCTCTGCAATAGGTTCATCAGACCTCAGGCTGACAACTACCATGTCGACCACATCTCCGTCCTCTCGCAGGTCAGCTTAGCTACTTATAGTTGGATGTCTTTCTAATATTCCCGTTTGAATATCTTCCATCTTCTGCTCTAGCTCAAGCTAGCATTTATGCTATCATCGTCTGCTATCTAGCTCATGTTAGTGCAAATTGTTTCACTATTCTTAAATAGAGTTATTTTCGCACGTGTCTTCATCCTGTTGACTTCACCATCATGAATACGGCCCAGGTTACTGTATCATTGCTGAACTGAAATTGATAATTTTTGTTATTCCACAAATACAACAGTATGACTATTATTTATATAGTTTTATATATAGTGATATCCTTACAATTCGTATCTTATATTTTCAATAAACACCATATTTTTTGTGCCGAAAACATCGTAAAATAATAGTGCAGTCCAGTGAACTGAATATTATCAAAGTATTTTAATTCTCGTGCAATTCTATAATAAACTTGTTAGTTTTTGTGGGGGTATTGGGTGACGTGATGGCTGTACCACAGACGGACTTCAGCGGGCGTGTGGTGAACAACGACCACTTCCTGTACTGGGGCGAGACGACGCGCGTGTCAGAGGACGCGGTCGAGTACAACTTCCAAGTGATCGAGCAGACTGAGTTCATTGACGACGCTTCATTCATGCCTTTCAAAGGTACTCGCTGCGCAGTATTTCATAACACCGCATTCAAGTTTTTACTATTGTTAAAAATTATACATTACTTTTGATATATTTTTTGAGTTCAAAGTTTTTTGAGTTTGAGTATGATATTTTTTGAAATTAAAGCTTTCAATGCACCCGAAATTTAGTGTTAATTGTTATAACAAGTTAGTAATGGTTATGTTTGTATTTAATATGAAAAATCTATCGACTTTCAATTCAATGACTGAAAAATTTATTAGTTCTCTAATGAATGGCAATTGACCCACGCTTCGAGTACCGTATGTGCTTGAATTAATGCTTTATTGTATACCTACAGCGGGCAAGATGGACCCGTACATCAAGCGCTGCTGTCAGACCAAGATTACCTCCGCTGAGAAGCTCATGTACATTTGTAAAAACCAACTTGGTAAGTTCAATCCTCCTGAACCCCAGTCGTATCATTATCATTATATATTTTCGTTCTATGTGGATGCGTTCATTATACGTACCGTACGCTAACATATATTGAACAAATATGTAATGTATCGTAATAAAGTATTATGTTCGTACGTGTGACGTTGTTAACGTCTGATCGAATTAGCGACACTAACTCTCGTAACTCACTACAGGAATAGAGAGGGAATACGAGCAGAAGGTGCTGCCCGACGGCAAGCTCAACGTGGACGGATTCCTGTGTATATTTGACGTGTCGCCGGTGCCTAACCGGTCCCTGGAGAAGATGGTTGAGCTTACGGCGTCCATATTGAATAATTGCGTCAAGACCAAGCGACCTGTCGTCCTCGTCACCACCAAGAACGACGAGGCAAACGAGGTTTGGTTTTGGGCTTAGTTTTTCATTGTTTGTGCACTGCTTGGGTGACATTTTAACTTCATTGATGCTAGCAGATTGACTACATTTTATTTTGTTTGGTTTTTGTTTGGATGAGAAAGAATAGAGTTTGGTTGGGTGGAAGTAAGTGTTTAATTTTATTGCTTTGAATCCAAGAGTTTATTTTTAACGTAAAATGAGATGCAGTAAAGTGGAACTCACAATCATTATCGTTCTATACAATATGCACCCTAACTTATCCTTTAAACGATATGACCACACATTCCCTCCTGTGAGGTCACCACTCACATGCCTCCCTGTGAGGTCACCACTCACATGCCCCCCTGTGACTGTCTCTTATACACATCTAGATGTGTATAAGAGACAGCTACTCACATGCCCTCCTGTGAGGTCACCACTCACATGCCCTCCTGTGAGGTCACCACTCACATGCCCTCCTGTGAGGTCACCACTCACACACTCCCCGCTCTGCTGCAGATTTACGTGAAGGAGGCAGAGAAGTTGGCGAGCCGCAAGGAGTTCAAGGGGAACATCCCGCTGGTGGAGACGTCGTCGCACGAGACCGTGAACGTGGAGACGGCGTTCATGACGGTGGCGCAGCTGGTGGAGCGCAACCGAGGGCGCGTCAGGATCCTGCCGTACTATGAGGCGGCCCGACACAGGAAGGAGATGATTGATGTCGCTACTGACGGGTACCTACGTCTGGTCAGGTCCAGCGTCACTGACTACAGGTAATGATAGGGCAGAAGCCGCTTAAAAATCAATCAGATGCTCCTGTGAATTTGGGGAATTTGGGCTATGCATCAAGAGTACTTACATTTTTCATTACAGTGTTGTTCTATGTGATTGAATTCATTCAATAAGTTCTAGCTTCAATTTATGTATATTAATGCTTTCAAATATATTCCTGACATGCACGTTGAATACATTTGATGCAACACTTCGTGATGCAACATCGTCTTACGCAACCCCCTGTGATGCACTGCCGTGTTGCAGGGCGCTGTGGTCGAGCTCGAGCAAGAAGCTGAGCCAAAGCCCCGACTTTGTGATCTTCGTCGACCTCATGGGGCTGGACTGCGCCGCTAAGCTCTTCAGGAGGCACACGAGGAAGCTCAAGGATGAGTTCCTGCAGAGGAAGGTTGAGTCCTACATGGACCTCCTGCCCTCCATCCTCAGGGAGTTCTTCCCCAACCTCAGGAGCTTGCAAGACGGGTATGAACATCTATTAATGTTGTTGTTGATAAATAAATTGAAAATTATATTGCATTTATCTTCATGCCTGTGAAGGTTAACCATCATCCAGCAACACATAATATTTTTCCTCGTGACAGTGAATGTTAACTACTATCCGTCTACACATAATATTTTTTCTTCATGACGGTGAATGTTAACTATCCTGCTACTCATAATATTTTTACTTCATGACGGTGAATGTAACTATCCTGCTACTCATAATATTTTTCTTCATGCCAGTGAAGGTTAACCATCCAGCATCATAATATTTTTCCTCGTGATATTAATGTTAACCATCCAGCAACATAATATTTTTCCTCATGCCAGTGAAGGTTAACCATCCAGCAACACATAATATTTTTCCTCATGACAGGGAAGGTTAACCATCCAGCAACACATAATATTTTTCCTCATGACAGGGAATGGTTAACCATCCAGCAACGGATCAGCGAACACCCTGACTTTGAACGATACTTCCTACGGTGTCACGAAGACCTGCCCTGGACTGAGAACCTGGAGCTGCTCGACTCGGCCGACTCGAGGATCCCGTTTGATGTTCTGGACTCGAACGAGGCAGAGACTGTATATAAGAACCATGTGAACGCTCTGCAGGCCGAGCTTGAGATGAGGGAGTGAGTGACCTTATTCTATATATGCAATAATAGAAATTTGAGTGGTCCATATTGAATGCTATAATCAGTTTGTGAAAGAATTTGTAATGATGCGTGACACCTTCTGAATCACTAATTTTAAACCTTTCTGTTGACCTTCATTCATTTTACGTAATATTGGGCTTTTTGTGGAAGAGTTTGTATTGATGTGTGCGAGATTTCTTTACAATAAACTGGAATTCTATGGTCGCTTAAAAAGCGAGGTTCGCAGAGGTGGAGAAGCTGAGAAATTTTTTCAAGTGTGGTGCTGATATGGGCTACTTATTATATGATAACTGTCCTCAATTAATAAGTTTTAATCCTTTGAATTACCTTCATTGACTTCTCAGAGTTTTCTTCAAATTCTGCTGCTAAGATTCAAATCCTTGCTTTAAACGGACTTGCTTTTTCTTGCACTCCACTTTACAGCTCCTGCTAAGCCATGCATAGTCGCTCACCTCCACCATTCTCTTTGCTTCAAGTGTACTTCTCCTTTAAATTACCAGCTCCTGAACCATAGGCTGTGTATACATTCTTTTAATCCTTGCCCAATCTTCTCTTACACGCAATACCGTAGCCGGCTCCCCAAGAGGTATGTTAACCTCATAGGGCTCATAAACTTAGTCTCTAAAAAGCCGTATTTTTTCTTTTTCATTTATTGTGTCTAGGAGTCTCTAGGTTTCTCCTTATGGATTCCGGTGGTCAGTGGGGAAAACGCATCGCTAAACTCTACGCGTTTTATTATATCAATTGATTCCTGTAGAGGTTCACGTGTAATTTATAATTGAACAAATAGATTACAGTTAAATGAATAGTTGTCAGGCCCCTCCATTGTAGTCGAGGTATGAATATTCTCTATGATTATTGGAGTAATGCTTGAAATGTGAGGGCAACGATGAGCCATAATTACTCCGTGCTGCGATAGTATGTTTATAGACAAGTTATGTATTGATGTCCCGACACACATGATCCTCGCAAAACACATTAGCCCTTAAAGAAGTTATTATTGATTTTTCTTGATTTAATAATATTATCCATGTCGAATACGGATGTCTTGGGCCAAGCGTAAATAGCTGTTATTTCAATTTTCGCGCCGCTTATTTCTTACGCATTGTACTTGTTTCTAACTAAGATAAGCGGTAAATTTTTAATCATAAGGAAGCATGTTGAGTAAAGAGATGACACTATCAAAGCCTGACATTGTATCTGTGTGACGTAGCGTTATTACTTTAGGTTTAGGAGATGTATCTTGGTCACTGCATATTCGAAAATCGGCCTCATAAATGCCAGTTCGTTATTCTTAAAGCATGTAAATAAAGCCCATAACAACATGATATTCGGCCACAGGATGCGTGACCGGTTCAAGCAGCTGCTGGAGGAGACGGGCTACGTGACGGCAGGCAAGCGGCTGGACGAAGTACGCGTGCTGTTCATGGGCCGCGAGAGCTTCGACAGCCTCACGGAGCATGACCGCCAGATCATCTACGACCAACACCAGAAAGAGATCACTGAGAAGGCCCGCGCCAACTACATGGTCTGATATTATTGCTGCTTCTCCTATATTCCTAAAGCTGCCTGTGATATCAGCTTATATTGTGTAGGGGCAAAGCATGTGTACTTATACTCCGTGTAGTCAGGCCACTACGTGTACTAAGGTCACTAAGTGTCCTTGGCCGCTACGTGTATTCAGGCCGCTACGTGTATTTAGCCCGCTACGTGTATTTAGGCGCTACGTGTACTTGACCGAGTTTTGATCACATGGCCCTGTTCTCTACGCAGGAGCTTCTGTTGGAGCACGCTGAGCTGTTCAACCATTTCAAGTCCGTGGCGCCTAACGGCAGCGTTACGCAAGAGGACGTGCGTGACATCACGCAGGCCCTCAACACAGACAGCAGGTGTGTGGCCCTGTAATGTTTGACCAAGGCAATGGTTTCTGTCTACATGCTATAGCAAATAGTGATATTCACTTAATAATAAAAAATATGCTTCTTGTTTACTGTTTTCTTGCAGCAGTCATTCAAGTCTTTGATTGTATTGTAAATTTTTATGCATCTTGCCATGGTTCTAATTTGATTATCTTGACATTTGTCTTGGTGTTGTCTTTGTCCTAAAATTGCTGACCTTATCTCAGACACAAAGCCCTGGACCGACTAGACGGTGAGCGCACGCTGCTGCTCCTGCAGCACTTGGGCTTCATCCACTGCCCCAAGCCCGAGCACTGCCCCGCCTACCCCAACTGCACCGACACGCTCGTCAATAAGATCCTCGCTGCCAGGCATGCCGCGTCAGTAGCCTTCTGTCTGTCTTTGCTCTCAAATTTGCTCTGAAGTGTCGTGGTAAACTATTTTTATTCGAATTGTACATACAATCCCGATTCCAGTATTCTGGATGCAAACCCATTGTTAACTGGAATATTCGGATCTCAAATTTAATTTTTCTTTGCTACTAGTTTCCAGACAATAGTGAAGAAATCTCAATAATATATATTTTGTTTTGAATTAGCGTTGAAATGTCTAAATAACGGGGGTGGGAACTGTGAACTGGATCCTTAACTCATAGTGTGGTCGTGTCTAATTTATTTACCGTCCGACTGATGGAGTTTTGACCTGTGTGCTGACATTAGCTTAAGATTTTTTGCAACAATTCTGGGTGAATTTACTCCTTCATCTTTCCAAAAAATGAATGAATATTTCTTCCGCCAGGCGTCCCAACTCTTGGTCTGGTAAGAGCGTCGGCTCGGGCTGCTCTCCCGTAGACCGTCACATCAACCTGGTGCTGCTGGGCAAAGATGGTCTCGCTCAGACCCTGCATGCTGCTATCAGGGTGAGCCTTAAGCGTCGAGACCTTCTCTCCTCTGGATTAGTATATTAATTGGACTGCTGATCAGTCTTAGTATATTATGTATTATTCCTCTACTTCACTTGTATCTCTTTCAGTCTCGTTCTGCGTCATGAGCGTGATTCTAGTTTTTCTTGTGATTCTAGTCTTGATTTTATTTTCTTAGATTGTTCGTTTTCTCCATAAGGCCGAGTTTGCTGGAGATGAAGTTGAGGTCGAGGGCGAAGTTTACTGCCTGGACTACCGGACGATCGAGGGCGACGTCACACAGCCACAGAACGCCTTCGCCACGCCAGACTTCTCCCCTCACGGTGAGCTGAGCTTCATTTGATCTCCTCAAAATCAATACCACATGAATATACTTGCAGGTTAGCTCTCGTTGCCCGGAATGGATAGATCCCTGCTATTTTAGAAACCCGTTATTCCGATTGCCCTCAATAATAATTAAAGAAATATCTTGCTATTTAAGAAAGTCTCATTCAAATCCACAATTGACTGAGCACATTTAACTCATTTGGCTTTCGTTTCAAAATATGAAAAAACCGCACAATTTTACACGTTCTAAACTGATTTTGCGCATTCTAACCCATTTAAAAAAATAAATTTTCATTTTTTTGATCGAATCTTTCCCTCCAGTTTTTTCCTATTCTCCCACTCAGGATAAATTTTCAGGTCCATGTAATATCCCAACTCAATAAGTATCCTAGATACCCGCCCCAACAGGCTCTATATATTGCGGTCGCAGGCTGCAAACTATATATCAGTCAAAAATATCTGCAAACATATATGAAAATACTCAGCATATGCTGTATAATATGCATATATATATATATATTTGTTTTAACGCGGGTGGCTAATGGCCATAGAATTCGTCAATTTAAATTTTCAGGGTCGAACAATACCTAGTCTTCAGATGACATTAGTTGATCAAAATTTAATTTTTCAAGGGAGTAATATCAATTTATTAATGCACCAGCTCCTCTCTTTTTAATATGCATATATATATGCATATTAATTATTAAACGGTTTAATATGTGTATCATATATCATGTTACCGGGAATAAGATGAGCATGGGGCTGTGTGGTGCAGGTGTGGTGTGCGTGTACAGCACCAGTGCAGGACTGGACTACCTGCGTGCCTCCCTGGAGCATCAGCTACTGGGGCAGCTGGAGCGTGACGAGGCCGCCCCCACCACCGCCATCCTCTACGCCCCCCACCCCTCCCTGGACCAGCTCACCCAGCATGCCCTGCATCAGGAGGGCACCAGTCTCGCTCAGAGGTGGCTATCCTGCATACTTCCTTTATCATTATTATTATTAATATTATTATCATTATTAAAGTTATTATTATTATTATTATTATTATTAATAGTATTATTATTGTTACTATTATTGTTACTCTATGAAGCGACTGTTTGCCTCCATGCACTTTGATACTATCTAGTTCTAGTTATGTGCTTCTTACCGCATGTTTTCTCTTCCTTTCATCTTAATTATATTCACGTTCTATTTATCCATCATCAATTGAACATTGATCAGAATTTAGACGAGTAAATATGACGTCTGCAATACAGCCTACAATTTATTACATCTTTTTTATCATCTACTGGCTAGGTGCATTGGGGATTGCATGTAATTTTCATGTCTGTATCTATTGTGAGGATTTGAGTACTTAATTCAGACCGTATTTTTAATGTCTTAGTGACCATGTGGTGCATTGCAGTTTGCAGTGCAGTTTCGTGGACGCTGGCTCAGCGAGTGAGACTGGGGACGGTAATGCTCGCGAGGACGGCGAGGGCGACGTGACTGGCGAAGGTAGTCAAGAACTCGACCGCAGTATCGTCAACAGAAGCATCAGGAAGCTCGTGACGAGCATACATCACCGCACCACGTCACTCTCTCTCTTCCAGTCCGTCACGCTGCAGGCGCAGGCTTGCCCTGATATCAGGTCTGGGCAAGGTTAATTTTATAATTTATATTTAAATTATTACAAATCGGCCACTGCATTAGAATAATATAGAAATGTTGTTGACCAAACATGAGCTGACTAATATCTTTGCCTCCGTGCGACGAGGGCTGCCGACACACACATGTGGAGGACATGAGTCATGTTCAAACATTCTATAAAGTTTCTTCATAACAATACGATTGCGGTGTTGGTACTACGTCATGATCTAACTTGCATCTGTTTGTGTGGTCAGGGTTATCATGTGTGTGCTGTGTGGGGACCCATATTCTTTGGAGGCGGTTCTCAATCCCCTGCTCTCGAGTCCTCTCTGTGTCCCTGCCGGCGATCGTACTCTGCAAATCCACTCTTTCCTTGGTGAGTTTTTTTGCTGAGGCAAGCTGCTGACTTCCCGCGTTCTTGTTACAGACTCACTTTAAATTGCTTATTTTTTGTTAGACAAGTTGATGCGTCCTGCAGATATTTTATATTTTAACCTAATTGTTTGTTGTGTGTCCGGACGTCGTTGTGAGGACAGCTAACGATGTCATGTCTAGGGCATTCGTTGATTTATGATTTGTTTAATTGAACTCTGAATTTATAGCTGAGGTCCGATAAGTTCTAGATAATGTCTGTATTAATACAGAGATGAATAAAAGAGACGAATCCTTAATTAGTACTTATTTAAAAGTTAGACACGGTGAATTATTATTACAGGATTCGATGAGGTAGTAATATCGACACTATCGCTATAGACATGATTGCCGGAGTCGTCTTAAGTAGATGTGTATAGAGGCTGGCTGCTAGTGCAGCTGATAGATGTTGGTTGGCGACTGGTCTGCGACTGCCGCATGGAATGCTTGAGGAGCTCATATAGGCGTAGAACAATGACGTCACAGAAGGTGACGTGGTAACCGCTATTGCAAGTATGGGTAGCGGCGGTGGAAAACCTGACAGTTGTGTTTTGACATATAGTAAGTGTGAGTGCGTTATTAACTTGTGTCACTCTGTGTTGTAATAAAATAACGTCTCATTTGCTACACACAGACGAGAGCAAGCGTGTTGTGGAGGTGTGCGTGTCATCATATCACGGAGCGCTGGCCTTCAGAGAGGAGCTGGTGCATGGCTTTATTCTCGTCTACAGTGCGAAGAGAAGGGCTTCTCTAGCAGCTCTTAAAGCCTTCTCTGCCAACATCCCAAACCTCCCTATCCAGGTGAGCTTGGATCTGCTCTAGGGTATCGTTATATAGAATTCATCATTATTTCTAACAAAGAATGTTTTGAATATTCCAACAGAGACGTCTTTTTAAAGAGAGGGAGGAGCGTTATTTCTGATTTAAAGAGAGGGAGGCCTCTTATATCTGATTTAAAGAGAGGGAGGCCTCTTATATCTGATTTAAAGAGAGGGAGGAGCCTTATTTCTGATTTAAAGAGAGGGAGGAGCGTTATTTCTGATTTAAAGAGAGGTAGGCCTCTTATTTCTGATTTAAAGAGAGGGAGGAGCCTTATTTCTGATTTAAAGAGTGGGAGGCCTCTTAATTCGGATTTAAAGAGAGGGAGTCCCCTTTTTTCTGATTTAAAAAGAGGGAGGCCCCATATTTCTGATTTAAAGAGAGGGAGGCCCCTTATTTCTGATTTAAAGAGAGGGAGGCCTCTTATTTCTGATTTAAAGAGAAGGAGGCCTCATATTTCTGATTTAAAGAGAGGGAGGCCTCTTATTTCTGATTTAAAGAGAGGGAGGCCTCATATTTCTGAATATAGTGACCATATTTTATTGTGAGACTTTCATTGCACTATTGCAACCGGTGAGCAGTCGATTAGATTGCTCATGTGTCGCGCAATTGCGTGATGTGTGAATGAGATCCTTCGCAGGCTGCTGATGGCCTGATGCATGACACAACAAAGGCATCCTTAAATCACACTTGCTATTATCGCTTTTTGTGAATTTATTTTATTTTCTGGTAAATTTGTTGGAATAAATGCTCGAATTTAACTCTCTTCTTTGTCTGACGCCTCAGCACATGTCCTCTCAAGGCTATACCTTGTGCAGGTACTAGCAGTCACAGAGTCAGGGTCTGCGTCTGCATTCTTCGGGTCTGAGGTGACGCAGCAGCTGATGACGGAGGGCAACGCTGTCGCTGACCGTCTGCAGGCCCACTACACAACCACCAACGCCTCTCCTCACCAAACATGTCAGTTGCTGCCCAAAGCTTCTCAACGGATTAAATTTATGATTGCATGTATTTGGTCAAGCCGTCTGATGGAGTTTGATTTTTTATCGTTCAGTTTCTAGCTGTTAGATCACGCCAGTTAATGAGTGGAGAATATTGTGCGTTCATGTCTGTTCTTCTGGTTGTATTTAACATCAATCCTATTGCTCTTATTGTTGTATTACACGTCAATTCTAAACTATTTTAATAATTTTTCCCCATAATTTGTGATGTAATATTTATGACCGCGCGTACATTATTGGTGCCTTTCAAACGGTCTGCTCTCTAATATGATTTTTTTTTTCCTTCAACCGCAGCTACGACGTTCACCCCCTTCTTCAAGGAGGTCTGGGACAAGAAACCTGAAATAGAGCAAGCCTTCAACATGGAGGATCCCTCAGGTATGTCTCAGCATCCCTCGCTTGCGTTTTCCTTCTCTTTTCCTTTTGTATGTGTTCAACTCGTGGCAAGGAATTCCTGATGCCTCACTAGTCTAAATTCTCATTTTTTATTAAAGTTTCACGTGTCAAGATAATCCGGATGTGTCACTTAAATAATTGTGTTTCTTATCTCATCCACCAACTGGGGACGCGTGATCAAGTAGTGTGACTGAAACAAATTGATTTTCAGTTGAATGCAATAGACAAAATATAATTGATAGTAACGTATATAATATTTATTTAGTTTGAAGCAGAGTTCAAACGTCATAACAATATTGACAATAACGTGTATTTACATGTGCAGGACTAGAAGACAGCGGGGAAGGCACTCTGGAGAGACCAGGCCCTGCGGTGCGTCTGGTGGGGCGCGGCGGCTCGGCCTTCACGCCCGTCAGACGCTCCAGGGCCGCGCTGCCGCCGCGCTCACACTCCGCTGAGGGGTGCGTGCTAAGAAATAATTGCTCCTTAGCAGCAGGAATAAGTTATACTAAGTCCTTATAAGTCATGTAGTTTCTAACATACTTACTATTATTATTATTATTATTACTAATTAGTGTGGGGCTTATTCCTATATTAGCGAGATTTGAAAAGTTTGTTATCGTAATTTGTGGGAAAGCCTTTGATATTATTATGCATTTTTGGAGCTACGAAATCTTATAGGTTGATATAAATTTGATTTCCTGGTATGTTCGAGGTTCATCGTTATATATTGTGTGTCAGGTCAGAGATATACGAGAGCGTCCCTCCGGGATGTGAGGCGTTCGGTGGCTCGCTTGGGGACGACCTGGACGAACCTCTATCCCCCTCACTGGGGGGCGTGTATGGTGGGGATGATGTGTACCCCGGAGGACGGCACCCCGCTCACGCCCACTACGGGTTCAGTGGGAGTGCAGCGGGGAGGGCAGTGGCAGGAGTTGGGGGGAGTGTGGGGAGCAGCAGCACCCAACACCTCACGCCCTCCGACGACTCTGACATCTACAGCCACATCGACAACGAGGACGACGAGCAGCAGCTCGTGAAGCCTTCGCAGCTCAAGAAGCAGAGGCGCTTCCAGCAAGGTGTGTACCTCCATGCCGATTTTTACTGGCAATTTGCCTTCATTTTTTCCAAATTTATTTTATATTCCTAGACTACACATATCTTGGTTCCTAATATCCTTTTCCGTTTACGATCAAATCGCGTTTCTTGTTGTACTTTTTCTTCATATTTTCTATTCGTAAGCTTATCCTATTCGATTGTGTTCGATATTTCTTGGTTTGGAAGTTGCTTTTTCTAAACAGGCTTGAGAATTGATTCATACATACACCTAAATCTTGCTTGAGGTGCCATTGTTCTAAGCTAACATTAATGCTAACGCTCATAATTTCTTACTAAAACGCTCATGTTCCGAGCAACGTGCAGTCAAGTGCATCTTCATACCCTTGTCAACTGCCAGTTTTGGATTACTTCCAATGAGTGATTTCATCTTCGTTAATACAGATTCGCTAATCCAGGGATTTGTTCGCAGAGATTTTCATAACATTTCTCGTGCTGTGATTTTTTGCTGATGTTTTCATGGCTTATGTACTGGTGTTTGAAGCAACTCATTTGTGTGCATGTTCCGTTATTGTTGAGGCCACAGTTTAAACTAGCCGATAGAGGGCCTTCGTCTGTCGTTTGCTAACCGCGTTCTAGTTATTGTGTTTCTAGTTGGCACTCGCAACCTGCCCCAACCGAGCCATGTTTGCTCATTTAGCTGTCATAGCTTTTGATTTATATTAGCCTTTTAACTGAGCGCGTCAGCAGTTTCATATCATTAGCTATTCATTCAGCCCTGTTAAATAACCCGTCCGAGACTTACTTTCGTCATCATGCATCATCTGCATTGTTAGGTCACTCCATGCCATACTTGCCATCCTTTACAGACTCGGACCGCTGCACATTTCCTAGCACAGAGTCTCTGCCCACGAGCATATCATCTCCCCGCGTCAAACTCGTGCCCACTCCTGAACAAACCTACCAGAATGCGGCCATCGCACGCACCAACGTTCCTCGCACTCCTAAAGCTAAACGCAGCAATTCTACTTGCTCATCACCTCCAGCGTCCAGCATCACTGCTCACTCCGCGTCGTCGCTGTACAAGCAGTCCTCTTCAACATCAACCTCGTCACCGCCCATGCACAAGGCCGCGTCCCAGCAGATCGCCCGGGAGCATTCGTTTGACGGGAGTCTGGCCAATCGTCACGGCGCGAGTTTTCGGCGGCGTGGCAGCGCCACCAACGGCTCCGTGTCTGCCTCTAGTACCGCCCTAAGAGGAAACAGGAACGGCGGAGGTACTCTTGCTGGTCTCCTCATGGGGGGATTGGATCTTATCCCCTCTGATAACCCTCCGCCTGTACCGCCGCCTCTCAATCTTGCGCAGCTGCCTCCTTTCCCCAAGACTCCTCTTCCTCCCCTGCCACAAAAGGACCAGAAGGAGGCAACTCGAGGAGACGCGGGCGTGCAAGAGGACAAGCCTCAGCCTCAGCCTGCTCCCCGCAGACAATTCCTTAAGTCGGAGAGCGTCGAGACCGGCATCGGTTCAGGGAGCGGTAGCAGCAACAGCAGCAGTCGCTCCAACACCAACAACAAAGCTGGCGACACTGGCACCATCAGCAGCACCAAGAGCTGCAATGACGATGTCGTTGTTACGGTTGACACTGTCGACCAGAGCAGCGCAGGCACCCCCACCGTCGCTGGTGAGCAGCTGTTCAGGGCAGCTGGGGGGCAATGCAGGAGTATCATGCACGCTACCGCATCATGCTCGCCGTCAGATCACGCACGCCAGTGTATCATGCACGCCATCATATCATGTCACCCTCACTTCATTGCCTTCATTTAATTTCTGTTCATTATTGCTTTTGAATGCAGTTTAGTTAGTGCGCTTGGGTATCTACCTTCCCTCGAATTTTAAGTTTAAAAAGCTTGTCGCACGTACTGTTAACATGCCAAAATGGTAGGGCATGCCTCTCACAGCCGCTGTTCTGTGGCATGTCTCGCACGGCCGTTGTTGTAGGGCATGCCTCGCACTGAAATAGTTCCTGGCGCTCTATTTTGGGCAGCGTGCTAGTTCATTTTCCGTTGAAGTTGCACTGTGACTGTTACGTTGCATCTGCACTTGTTTTTCGTTAGACTAGCGCCAAGGCATGATTGTCGTGGTGTCGTGGCTTAGTCGTACGTCGCAGGAGGAAGTGGAAAGCACGACGGAGGGCCGTGTTGCAGGTGGTGGAGGCGGTGGTGGCAGTAGTGGTAGTGGTGGAGGCAGCAGTGTTGGAGGCTTGCAAGTGTACCCTCCACCCACCACTCCTCCTGAACCTGCGCCTCCCGACCGTGAGAGTACAGAGAGCGGAGGAGGTGCTGCAGGTCGCGCTGCAGCTGCAGCAGCAGCTGCTGCTCACCACATGCAGCAGCGACGCCTGGTTAAGGCTACCACGCTGCCTGCGCCCACATTTCATACCACCGCTTCTAGGACCTCACTAGAGGACCTCACGTGTAACTATCTCTTCGTGACCTATCTTTTGTAGTCAAGTCTTGATATATCTCTCGTTGCATCTCTTCATGTTTCTACTTCATATGTGTCAGTTTTCTAATCTCAACGTATGTTTTTGTTACATCTCATTGGTATTTAGTTTTATTCAGGAGAGCTTCTACTTCGTGAATGTTCTAAATATATCTTAGTGGTTTGTGAGCCTCTAAATTGCTCTCCATGCGGTAGTCGAATAAAATCATTCCTCTCTCACCAAAGCACAATATTCATGCCAGAATAATTAATTATATGAGCAGCTCAACTCGGCGTTGCCCGGGATCCATAAACCCTGTAATTTGAAAATCATGCTATGCCAAATTTAGTCTTCCCTACACCAGTTGATGATTTTGGAACTTGAGTACCGAATCTAAGAAAGACCCTCTCAAATCTACAGTTTGCATGTAACTCCCATTAAAGTCCTGTTTAGAAATATAAAGGAAACTTGATATTTTGCATTTTTAATGAAATTTACTCCATCTGTAGAACACTTTCTAATTTCTAAATGAACTTTTCCCTCTATTTTTCTATGGTTAGTGATTCCACTACTAAAATTAAAATTGTATTCCCAGGAAATATCCTGACATAATAAGTTTCGTGAATACGCGCTCGAACATCCCTATATATTTACGGCCTTGGCTTCAAACACGCTAACAAACTTTGACTAATCTATTCAATATTTGTCTAAGTTTGTTTGTCGATATGTTCTATAAATTGAATCTATTGAATGTTTGTCACAGTTTGTAGTTTATTTGTTCGTGTTGGTGTTTGAAGCCCTAAGTATACAGGGGTTGTTTTCGCGCGTATCAATGATGAATTTCATGTTTTCTGGGAGTAAAATTTTATTCAAAACCTCCCTTACTTAAGACGTTCGATATTCTATATTTCGTGCAAAAATATACGTCTATACTTCTCGCGGTTCTCGTTGTCGGTTAACAGTCCTGCTATTGGCTGGAAGTTCTCCGTGATACGCGTGCTGTTCGGCCTCCATTCATGCACTTGATGTGCTCAATCAAAATACCTTCATCTGCTATCGAATCTCCAAAGATTGCCGCTTAGTGACTCGATGCATATTTAATGATATCAAAGCAAACCGTCCATTGTTAGGGCAGGTTGAATTAGCTGTTAGACGCTTAAATCGACTCAAAAAGTCGCGGCTTGGACGCTAGATTCGACTCATCGAGGCTTGGTCCACGCCATACTGTCAAGCACGTGCCAGGCATAAAAATGTGTGAAAGCACCTAAAGAAATGTATTAAAGAATATTGGACTATACCATGACTGGCAGTGTGGTGTGAATCAACCCTAAGCCGGCACTTAGACGCTAGATTCGACTCACTAAGTCGACCATTCCGCAGCAGATCTCAGCGGGTCCCGAGAGTCGCTCACAACTCGGGACTCAGGAACAGCACCTGACAACTTTCCTCGTATGTACTCGCCGGTCATCCTCTTACCCTCTTCTTTGTGTCGCCTTCTTTTGTTCTTTCTACCATAGTGGAAAGTAGACTAGAATAGAGTCGACGATTGTCTTCAATTCTTCTGCTATTTTTTGCATCTTGATTGCTTATTACCGCTGCCTACCTCCCGCTCTGCTTAAGTACTGAAGAAAAGATTGTTCTTGATTTAGAAAAACGAAGATTCACAGAATGCAAATTTTTTGCTTGGTGTCGTGTTTACTTTCCTCGTATTAAAATCTTGATGTGGCAACGAAGAGTCGTTAGTTTAACAGTCACTTGTCCGCTTCAGGTTGACACACTTCTCCTTTGATTTATCGGTTGTGATTGGCTGTTTTATATTTGAGCTATCGAGGGTAAATTATGTTTAAAAGCTTAACTAAGTGTAAAGGAAATCATATTAAAGAATGAGTCCAGTCACCGTTTTCGGGCAAAATTTTGAAGATGTGCTTATACAGTAGATGTCAGAATTTTACGCTGATTGTACAAATCTATGGTCATGCATGACCTAAATCCTGTCAGGAATATGAGGTATCTCCGGTAGTGTTGAAAGAATTTTTCTTTTAAATTGAGCAAGTACCGTGTGAGTTATTTGTTTTCGATTCTTCTGAGTTGTGTTAATTTATTACAAGCTTATGAGGTGCGTAGCTATGGATCTCAGAGGCAGCGACGACGGGCAGTTGCACAACTAAGCCTGGGGCAGCACTATGCATACATAAGTACACGTAGCGGCCGATTTTTGGTCTCTAATTGCTGGGTTTAGCTTGAATAGCCGTCAGTGATTGGCTGACGGAGTTACGAACTCGTAACTATTTCTGATAGTCCAGCCACTGATTGGCTTCGCAGCATAGTCCGGTGTGACCGCATCGTTGACTTGATCCGCCATGTGGTCGTTGTTGTAGCATGACTTTAGCAGCTTACTTATTTTACTGAAATTTAATTATAGTGTTACTACGTTTTTGCTTCATTTTGATTGCTATTTTTTCGCATAACAGTCAGCAGTAACCTTCTTTAAAAGTTGATGGTTTTCTGTTAGCATGCTTATCACGGCATTGTTGCCCTCAAATTTTTGAGGGGATTGATTTCGATACTTGTAAGTCGCTTGTATTTTATCTGTCGATTAGATTGATGCATTGTATAGTTTGCCCTGCCAGTAATGTTGTATTCGCCTACAGCTTCCTAAAAACTATTTACTAACACGTGTACAAATAGATGTGCTTATGGATGGTGGATGTTGCCGTGAGTATTTCTTTGATGCTAAGTCAGATTTAGTTTTGTATCATGTGTCTGTTAGTTTATGTGGTATATTACCGCCTCATGGATCACCTTCGTCTATTTAGTGTTTCAGCAGCAATTTTTAGCTCATCGTCATTCTTAAAACAATCGTATAAATTTTATTAACTATTTATAATCGTGTGTTTCCATGTGGCCTACTGCCAGGAAATAGTAGCGTTTAATTGGTTCTGGTTTAGTGGTGGAGCTCTGCAGTATATTTCTAGGAACTCTAAAGGGGAGTAATTCACATTTTTAATTTTGGTAATTCTGCTTCATATCGCCGAGTATAGAATGCCATCCATAAGTTTCAGGACATAGTTTTTACAATATGGACGTTTCCTTCAGGCTGGGTAGACGATTCTGCTCTTGGTGGGGGTCGTAAGACGACTGAGGAGTACTGGGTGGGGCCTGGGGCTGCTGGGGACCGGGGACCTTCAACTGGGGGAGCTTACCAACCTCACTCGTCCACCACGGGCAGAAGAGGCAGACTCCCACCCCCACCAACTCGTGTCAAGCCCAAGTCATCCCATACCCTGAAGGTAAGAAACCAACACTCTAATCACCAAATTTTCTACTGTATATTTTATCATACATAACTTTGCATTAAGCCAACCCTTGCTCGCGTTTTCTCTATTCCTAAATGTCCTGAAATATACCGATAAAGTTTTTCTCTCTTTAGTTTGGTTTGGTAAGCCGCTGCTATATGTTTGGTCGAGTAATCGATGAGCTGTCAGTTGGACGTTATTTTTTGTACAGTCTTTTGTCACCATGTCGTGATATAACAACGTTCAATCATTTCGGAACATCGTGATTTTGTTGTCGTGTTTCGTGTGTGTTTCACTTACGGAAAGATACGGAGTTTCTTTGAGTTGTGGATCCTTCTCAGGTGGAAAAGGTGTATCTGCTTCTTAATCTTGTTACTTTGTTCTCTGAGACTAGCGGGGCTCGGTCTGTATCGCACCTTTGTGCAGAAAATCAATGTTTGTGGAGTTCTGTTCAAACATACCTATAAAACCCTCGAAAACAGGAGTCTTTGCGTAAGGAGCTCGTGCTCGCATCACTCAAAAATAAGAATTGGAAAAAACTGTATTTATTGTAGACTTATGACTCATTGTGTTGTTGCCCCGCTACTTTCAGACGTTCCTGTCGCTGAGCGATGCCGTGTCCCAAGTCACAAACAAGGTACACCGTTATTTCTTGCATTGTGTAACACCTGCCTTGATGGATATGCCGCTACCGTGCGTGGCTGTGTTCCGTAGTACAAACTCCTTACATTCACTGTCCTTTCCCCCTCAGTCCTGACTCAACCTTCCCTTTCTGTCCCCTTACCATTTCTGACGACCATTCTACTGCACATCGTCACATACTAAACCGGTCACTAATACGCGGGGTGATCTTTGTGCGTGTACGTCGTAGTTTGTCTTCTCGAAACTTTAATAGTGGCCTTTCTCTTCCATCATGAACTTTGATTAATTTGTTTGGGATGAGTTCATCGTAGAAAGGTAAATTTGGTATCATTTTCCAATCTTTTCTTATTGGGGTATTTTAATAATTTCCTAATGGCAGAGTGTTCTTTAATTTACCCAGCATTTTTCTTGGTACGTGCCGACTGAATGTGTTATCTGTGAATTTGGAAAGAGTTTTTTTGGAGAATTTTCACCGTGAAAACTGCCGAAAAATTTTTATTTTTGGTTCGCGATGTGATATCCGTCTTATGTCGCAGATGTTGTTTTGTCTGTCATGGTCGCAGATGTTGTTTTTGTTGTCATGGTCCGTAAGTATGAATATAGCATTCATTGCCAACCGGGAAGTCCTTTCATCATTATCTAGCTATCTCTTGGTTCTGAGAAATTCTTGCTCTGCTTGTCTCGTGTCTCTTTTTGGGTTAATTCTGCTATCGTGCAATCATTTGCTCGACATGAAATTTGTGCTATTTATGATGGTTGTGTTGTGTTATGATTACCTTGTGTTCAAAAAAGCGTAATTTAAATCAGACGAGCAAGGTCCTACAGTGAATATATTTTATAACTTCTACCGATACCGGCGATTTTTAAAATCACGCAGCCACTATAGGTACTTCATCTATAATTACTTTGATATATTTTAGATTTATATAACTCTTTTACATATATTCAACGAGTCACGTGTCTCACTCGCTTTTTCAACCTGGGATGCGCATTTGAGAACAGACCTCATTTCCTGATCTCGTGACTCTCATTTGGAACGCACGATGTCATAATTTAAGAAGACAGTTACTTGCCATTCTATAACGCTATTAGTGTTGCAGCCTAAGACGAGGCAACCGCAAGCACTTCACCGCTCCTGTCTTCGTCTCTTATTGTTTACAATGCAATAATTGTTTGGTCTCTAACTGCATGAACTTTTTCTGTGTAATGTGTGAAGTACGAAGGGTTTTGTATATGCATGCCGTGGCTGTGTTGGATCATTAATGTACATCTTGCCGCCTTCTTTTTCAGTTTCATTTGACAAACGCTTTGTAGTGATAGTCGCTTGAGTTGTTTAGTAATATTTGGTTCACTAAATTTTTGTTTATCTGGTTCTTCAGATTTGTAGTTCTTCAGATCTCGAAGTTATTTGACAAGCTAAGTCATGCATTGTAATGTAGTTAATGCTTGTCTTATCGGCGAATGGACCGGTGACGGTAGTGGGCAGGCTGCTAGAAGCGGTAAGTGACTTCTTAAAGGCGCTTAAACACGGCAAAATCTATAAGAACAGTTCAATATCATATGAACATCTCTTGACGTTCTTGGAACGGTGTCGCTGGGACAAAACACTAGCATATAACATTAGAAACACTTGCCTCAAGCAGGATACAGAGCGGCACAAATGTACACATATTAGGGCTGCTGCAGCCCTACTGCCAATACTATACGGCAGTAACGGCACATTAACAACCTGAACTGATTCAGGCGCAAATGCATCAGCTACTCTCATCTGAAGAATAAATCATTACAATATTTCGAAGGCGAAAACTCGCAGCTAATACTAGCCCCGTGTATATAAGCACCTTAACTTAAGACGTTTCATCCGGAGCCAAGGATCAGATAGTTTCAAGTGATACTTTCGTGGAAGAGATAGCGATAGGTGATAATGCCATCAAAGCATCGACTACGATTGGTCAAAGCTGAGATGCAACTTTTTGCAGTAGTTTATTAGGTTGTTTTGTTGTCTTATACTATCCTGAGGTAAGTAAGCACTTCGCTCATCAGTCCTGGTGCGCCTGGGTTCTTGTGGTGTGAGCTCTCGAATGCCTTTCTTGGAGGCCCCGCCTCTGTTCGTAAATGTCCTCTGCATTCTATTCTTCGGCGTAGGTTTTCAGCATCACCCGAGTCTATCCTGAACAATTTGCGTATCTAGTGGCCTGAGTATCTAAGTGTTGAGCGAGTCATCTCGTGGCACCTTCCTCTTTTGGCTGCATTAGTACTTAGCCCATCCTTTCTGTTCATTCCGCAAATGTGTTCGATGGTTGTTGGTGGTAGCTCCCTCTTACCTTACGTTTAGCCGTGATGTGATGGGATGCCTCGTCTAAGGCCTGAGCACTTGGCTTTCCAGGGACTTTACTTAAATTAGAAATGTTCTGTTGGACGTATCCTACTATCCTTCGTTATCCCACAAATTTAGGACTATAGGCACGCGTCAGGTTATAGTGAAGCTAACCCCGGGCGTGTTGGTTACTTTCAGCAACCTGGCAAACTAAACCTTAAGGCGTATAGCAACGTAACAGACGCCCTTAGCAAACTAGCTGTAGGAGACGGAGTCACGCCTACGCGCCTCCTCACCAAAGCCGCCATCGACTCAGCCGACTCCAACGCTCCTCTTGCTACTCCTGAGAGTGCCGAGGACTTGGGCGGGGACTATTCACAGGTGAGACTTTAGCAACTTAGTTCTGCATCACTGCTACATCATTCGGCCGGCTTGTACTGTGGTGACTTAAAATAGTATAGACCTCGAAGCGCATTTTATTCACTGCATAAAGCTGCTCAGACGCCTTAATCTCTATATGGGGCGTGGACTCAACATGCAGCTATGGACGATCATCTCTGTTTTCAGTGTAGTTTCCAAACCAACACATAAATCTTGTGCCCTCACAAAGCTTTAACTTCATGCCTTATGGAATCATTGGTTTGCTTTAATGAGTTCTCAACTTGTTTAAATTTACACTTCACTATATAAAGGGAGATATTGCTCCATTGCCATTTAGTTTGGTTACCGACAAGTACTCGAACGTCTTACGGGAAGTTAACGACAATGACATTGCTGTGTAGAGTCGCCCTCACCTCGTGTCACCTGTGGGAGGAGCGGTGCACGTATCAATGATACACGTATCAAGAATACACTTATCAATGATACAAAAATGCGGTTGCGGTATTGAATGGCTGCAAATCATGGCTTTTTAGCATATGGTTGAATCAGCTCTCTAGCAAAATGATGACACAACGTTCAAGGAAATGTTAATTTTGGCGTAATATGTATTAATTAATTCTTTTTTAGGCAACGAAAAGCTTCGATACTGCTAATACCACTAAGTGGTTTAGTGGACATCGCTCTGTGATCACGAGTGGGTGATCCCGAAGTAATGTGCCTGTTCAGTGAAGTACGTTATAAGCGGCAACTTTTTAGATCATCAACAGCCTAATAAAATTCGAAGCTTGAAGTGCAGCTTCTCCCTTTTCTATCGTGTGCCGCAAAAGTGCTTGATCATTTTGGGGTGAAAGCTTGTGTGAAGACATTCCAGGTGCTGCTTGTGTTGTGGTAAGTCTCCATACCAAACGTTTTCTCATGGGCTACTTAGACTTCACCTTGGCGCTAGAAAGATCTCTTACATATACTGCACAGACCTCGCTGCTGGTTTGCCTGGTCCATCGTTTCGGTGAGTCTTGTTCTTATGTTTTTATCATTTGTAAAATTATTCTCTAAAGTGAATCGTGCCTGAGTAGACGATTTCTTGTAACATAATTTCTTAATGCTCATGAAGGGAATTGTTCATATTCGCTGACTCAACTTCTCCAGTCCAAGCAAAGCCGCAAATCTCACCCTTTTCAGTTTTGTTCGCGAGTCTTGGCTAAAATTCAACGTTCAAAATTTTCCACATACAGTCATTTTTTGATGTTCGATCAACTTCTATCGATGCTGAATAAAATTATAATACGGAGTATCAGTTAACGAACTAATAGTGGTACCGTAGCGGGAGATTCAAACTTGACTTCAGTCAAGAATGTTGCCCAAAGCTTGCATCATGCAAGATAGCGTAAGTTATTCCTCGTTCTGATGACCATGACAACCACGCTCGTTGTAATTACCAACTTAGTGTGAGGGGTTCAACATCATTTCTTTAGTTGTGACACGCTTTGACTCCTCATGTGGGTGGACTACTATTACCAGCTCGACTAACATTTCTTTCTTAATCGGGTTTCTAAAACTTGTTTCTACTCTCCCGAAATTGAGTCTATAACGTTACATCTCACCCTCCGGGCAAATGACGGTGAAGAAATATTGATTACGAGCTGATTTCGTTGAAACAACGCGGAATCGGCGCTATTTTGACGTCTGATGCCCAGTAGGTTAACACTCAATATCGCGTTTGCTATGTTTATCGCCTATGTGGGCTGGAAATAACCGCTTCTTTAGCATCCGTTATTTCCGTGGACTCGGAGTCTCCGACACATAACACGTCACTGAAATAAATCCGTCGGGTGTAAATAACTATATTGTTTTCGTGGGCAGAGAATTTGAAATAACGTACTAACAGATTGACCCTTTAACGTCCATTATTCCATTTGTGATGGAAGTTTTTTGCTTCTCAGTTTTTGGCATGCTTTTTCCGACGTGTTTTTGCATTTCTAGATTAACACCTTTTTCTGAACTCGTTGCTTTTGCAAATAGCTACATATTTAACACCCCCACCTACTCAATAAAAGGTGCTTCTCATATACCAACACCGCTGTCATGACTCATACAATCATGTGTTAATACAAACTATCTTCACAGTAATATCTATCTCACTGGGCCAAAACCATGCCTATTGCATTGTTAATATATTATTCTGCTGTGCCGTGTGAGCCGCGTTATTAATTTCTCTTCAAGATACCCCGAAGGCCGTAGAGAATTTGTGTGGCTTGTGCGTTCATGCAATCATTTTAAACGTAAAAACATCGAGGCAACGAGAAACATCAATGTCTTCGCGTTGTCTGATCACCGAGATTTCGCTCATTTTATATTTGAGAATGGCTTGGCTGATGCTTTATTCGCCTGATCTCTCTCGAGTGTGTTCATTCTTCGCTCTTGTTTCACTTGTTCTCTGTGCTGACAGTTTTAGTGTGTGGTTTGCATTTGTTATACCAACTTGTGGATCGATTCTGTTGTCTTCTTTAGGGATTTTTCGGACGATCATTGTAATGGATAATTTCACTTTGAAACAATGAATAGCATTTGATCTGAAGTATTTCTCTCAAGTATGCATTGTCTATTGAGTATTTCACAAATTCTGCCTGTTTGAGTAACTGTACTTCGTGGTAATAACTGTACTGCGTGGTAATAACTGTACTGCGTGGTAATAACTGTACTGCGTGGTAATAACTGTAACCTGGTCAGGTGAAGGACGCGGTGCCTGGGCTGTACCCTGACGCAGGCGCGGCAGGAGAGTTTGCGTACGCGCGCGTCCCCGAGCTGTCGCAGGCTGCCAGCGCTAAGGCGCGACAGCGGCAGCGTCGGGAGAAGCAGCAAGGAGGTGCGTCAAATATTTAACTACGTACTGCAGATATCGGCATTTTTTTTATTTCGATCCTGGTTTCTATGAGAATACCGTGATCTGATCTTTTAAATGAAATTTATTCCAGGCTCATTGTATTTCTAAATTCACAATTAATATTTATAACCAGTAATCCGTAAATTGTCGACTGTAAGCTCATTTATGGCGCGTCTGTATTTAACAGCCTCGACGAGCGCGTGCAGTGACTCAGACTCTGACTGGAGTTCGCTGGAGCGCCGCCGTAACGCCGACTCCTCTCGTAAAGGCGTCCCCAAGCGCGTCAAAAAGAAACGCATCCCCATCCCTGTTGCCACTCCCCGTGTCCCGGGTCCCCCACGCGTCCCTCCTCTGCCTGGGTCAATGTTCACCGCAGATGTTGGGATGTTTGGGGCTGCGGGGGCGCTCGGCGACGATAGCAAACCTCTCCTACTCGATCAACCCGAAAAAGGTACGCACATTTTAGACCTTCCTTTGGTTGTTAATGTGATTATTGTATTTTGTAGGGATGGTATGCGTTTAACATTTATTTATTCAGAGCATGTCAAATCCATGAAAAATCACGCCTGTGCCCCTTGCTTCCCGGCCTGTGCAGATTCGCACTGCAAAAATACACATATTCAGCTCAATATTGGTAACTTGCCTTTAAATTCACGAATTTTATTTATGCGTGTGTCACGTCCACATGGCAGCCAGTTTTCTCACCCGCAGGCGTCACCGGACTCGATACAGCGAAATTTGTTTTATGGCAGACCGCGTGTGTCGGATCGAAATTTTGTTTACGTTCATCATTGATGAACACAAACAAACGACTCCTTTGTTTACGTACCTCAAGCATTTCCATGCGACGACAGCTTTTGAAATAATCTTTTTTGTTTTCGGGTTTGTGGGAAATGTACGGTATAAATACATTTTTATCTTTTCGTTGTCTTCAACATTCACGCAGAAGCAGGTGGTTCAAATATATTGCATGTTCTGAGCCACCAAGGTACTGAGGTAGCTTTCTTCAATAGCTCTTCAGTGTTTTCGTTCTGCTTTGTACTCGGCTATAGTTTTGATCCAACCTTTGAGCTTTAACACGTTGACTACGATTGCTTCATCTTGTACAATTATTTCATTTTTTGTACTTTTTTTAGCAGGGTTGCCAGACGGTCATTTTTTCCGGACAAATTCCGTGATTTAGTTTTTCTCAATTGCCTTGGCCGGCTAAAATTTATGATAGAGGTACTTCCTAATTAAATTTTGAATACTGCAAAAAGAAAATCAACGGAATTTTTATAGCGGAACCTACGAATAAACTAGTATATTTTGAGTTATCGGCCTTTTTTGGCCTTTTTTGTTCTCGGATTTGGCCGATTTTAGGCAACCTGAATTATGTACCTCTACCTCCTGGAGAAATACATTTCGTGGTACGCATTTGTACCAATACGTAGTCAACGTGTTAAATGAATGATGCTGCGGAATTATTTGGTTCAGAAGAGACAAGTGGCCGTATTATCATAAATAGTTTTGAGTTCGTAGCTCCATCGGCCATTAACTGATGGCGTATCAAGCTAAAACTACCGATCACTGACGAAAAATTTGCCGCTACATGAACATAAGACGCCATGTGTACTCGAGTTCTTACAGAACAGCCCTTGTTTTGTACGTTGCTCAGCAAATGCTCTGAACTAAGATTAGAATGCCCCGCTGGCGCCTCAGGGTCACGCTCAGGAGAGTCCTCAGAAGAGAGTGATGGAGAACAGAGCCAGCTGCCCAACGAGCCGCTGCTGCCCCCGCCCAACACAGCTGGCCTTCAAAAGAAAGGTTTTCAGTTTAAGAGCAAGACTGGCAGAGAAGGAGTAGCTGTGCGTCCTCCGGTGGTTCCCTTTGCCCCTTCCGTCCGTTCTAATTCTTCTTCCTCCCCTCACAACCCTTCCTCCCTCATGGGGAGGGGGATGGCAGTATCTTCCCCACGACCACCCTTCCAGCTCACCCCTGACTCAGATGTCAGCTCCCCGCTGTGTAAGTTGCTTGAGCGACCTGCTGCATGACCGGCGTGGCTGGCAGCATGACTCGTCTCTGTCTCGCCATTAAACTTCTTCCTTCTTCCGGACCTGCGGCAACACCAACTTCAACTTCGATTTACAAGCGTTTAGTAGTTCGTTGCATCCTTGTTGCTGTTGGGCTTTTTAATGTGTGCTGTAGTTTGCTTCTCATCTACGAGTAGATTGCGTGTTGTGAAGAGTTGTAGTATTGAAGATGATGAACCTTCTTCCAACGTCGGAAATGATTGTTCATGAGGCTATTTAATTTTATTTGCTCATTTCCTGAGTTTTTGATTAAGTTCTTGCTCATCTTTTCCTCGATGCAAGCCGAGTTTTATGTAGACATTTATTATTTTAGTACGGCACAGCTAACGCATGTAGTTAGTTTTTTTGCTACTTGAGGCTACATAACTAAGTTTTGGCTGGCTCTTAAATTCTCAACTCCTTGTTATTCTTTCAGATCTTCTTGCTCTTATATAAGTGACCATTAAGACTTGCCTTGTGTTCAGTGAACGGTAGCGGCTTCATTCAGTTACGTCCTATGTATATTCTATTCACTAACACCAATCCACTAATTGTCTGTCGTAATACTTGTACAACTAAATAACATTGCATCTCAAACCATATCTTCGGGAGAGAAATGTTAGCCGTATCCGGCTTAAGTTATTTCGTTAACCACGCCAAATTGTTAAGAAAGGAAAAGCATTAGTCTCGCTGCAATTTTCTGATGACGGAATGTTATGTTTGTTATTTTGCGGTATATGTAACTTTATAGTGTATGTGCATTAGTAGCAAGCTTGTAGTTTACTTGGTAATTGTTTCGTGAAGTACTACAGTGAACTGATTATGGATCATAGCTTTATCAAAATAGTTTATATTATAGTTGCATTAGAGAATCATTGATTATGCATGCACTTAGCATCTCCAGTATTTATTTCCTACATTGGCGAGAGTTGTTCGTCGTAGTTGCTGAGCGCATGGATCGTAAATCTTCTACCGTCTTTATTATGTTGATAATATGTCGAACGATGTCGCGATAGCCCTTAATTTTCGACGTTCTTCACTTAACAAAATTAATTTCCCATTAATCTTCTTGAACTAGATCGTGGATTGCATGAATGACTTTTAATTAAGAGACTACCCTGCATTCGTGTACTCAATGAACTCACTCGTGCTGGTGACGCTCTGTTTAGGCTAGACAGGTATGAACGAGTTGATTAATTGTTTGCATTTATTCACGCCTAACCTGATCGTCATGGCGTCATTGAGCTGGCTATGTCATTGTTACTTATCACCATAATTTTTAGTATATTCTTGGTTGTAAATCATTATACTCATTTTTGAAGGAACTCGCGTTCATCACATTATTATACAGGCGAGTAGAAGTTGTAATTAGTAAGCGAAGTGGGAGCTATAATTAGATTTCATTTCCAGCATAATTCTGTGATTTATTAAGTCATTTATTGAGCTCGCATTACCTCCATGAGGTCATATCATGTAGATGAGGTCGTGAACTTCCCCACCATGTGGGCAGGTCGTGGGGAGGGACCAGATGGTGGGAGTTACTTCCCCGACGACTCCAGCATGGACATGCCGTCCCCTCGTGACATGCAGAGCCCCAACCCCGGGGGAGGCCAGCCCGCTCTCCCCAACCAGACGTCGGTGCTGCAAGACAAGAATGCACGCAAGAAGGTGCCCTCACAATCTTATGCCCTCATAATCTTGTGCCCTCACAATCTTATGCCCTCACAATCTTATGCCCTCACAATCTTATGCCCTCACAATCTGATGCCCTCACAATCTTATACCCTCGCAATCTTATACCCTCGCAATCTTATACCCTCGCAATCTTATACCCTCACAATCTTGTGCCCTCACAATCTTATACCCTCATAATCTTATGTCCTCACAATCTTATACCCTCATAATGTTATGCCCTCACAATCTTATGCCCTCACAATCTGATGCCCTCACAATCTTATACCCTCGCAATTTTATACCCTCGCAATCTTATGCCCTCACAATCTTATGCCTCAAAATCTGATGCCCTCACAATGTAATAACTATGGAATCAATGACTGACAACAACCACAGGCATTAAAACATTCAAAATTAGGCATCAATGCATTTCAGTTTTAACAATAATTTCTGTCTTGCGGAGGTTAATGTAAGAAATAGCGTCAGCGTGTCGAAGCTCGCTTACGAAATTTCAGGAGCAACAGGACATTTATTTTCGGTTTAATGAAAATGGACCTGAACTTTGCCATTTCAAGTGGTAGTCAAGTAGATGAATTCACTTTACGTTCGGAAACAAGTCTCATTATATTTCTACTGTCAATTTGTGCATGTGTTTTGGTGCCCCAGTTTGCATTATAATTATAACTTTATTATTAGTTTGAAACATCATTAAGTTGTACTGAAGCTGATGCACCAATTAATCTGCAGCAAGAAAAGCTGAGGAACAAAGAAGAAGCTCGGATCAGAGAGGATGAGAAGAAAAGAGTCAAAGAAGAGGAGAAGGCCAAGAAGAAAGTAAGTGATATTTTATCGTTCCGTTGAGTTGCATTCATGCTTATTGCTTACGTTACACGTTACAAAGGCAGTCAGTTGTAGATTGCATATCAATTTGTGTGGATTCTTATAAATTTTGAATATTGCTATACATTAGATATATATTAATTATTCTTAGCAACCATTGTTTCATACCACTGGAATTTATTGGCGTTGACGAGGATCTTTCCAACATAAACAAAGAGTGCTCAGTTGCTTGTACCAAAATTTTTTTCTTGTTATTGCCTGCCTAATTTTTAAATGTTTAGTCCAGTGAATGGATATGTATTAAGCATCTCTTCTTCCCATACAACATTGCCTCAACACCAACAGGAACGCGAGAACAAAAAGAAATCAGCAAAGAGCGGTGGCAAGGGCGGCGCCCCTAAGCCCGTCGCGAACTGGGAGGAGTTCATCCAGAGCCCTGACCATCCAGTGCCGCTCTTCGTGGACAAATGCGTTCAGTTCATCGAACTCGAGGGGCTCGACTCGGAGGGCATCTACCGAGTGCCGGGCAACAAGATTCACGTGGAACACCTCAGCACCAAATATAAAGAAGGTTACTCCTCTTTCTTTATATATTTGTTCGCATCATTGCTTAATTGCGGGTAATTCATTACTGTTACGAGGTTCGAGCATTTCTGGCGTTTGCTCACAAATTTCGTGTGCAGGGCTCGGTGCTTTGAATTCGTCCTAACTCATCTTATTAATGGCCAGGTCACAGAAATCTGAATTATATCATGAATTTGGTGCCTTCATATTAGTATTTATTACAGCAATTGGTAAAAGTAAGCCACGTAAGTGCATAGACATGCAATGCTCATTTGATGTGTGGTCTTTTTAATCTTAATAATGATCAGATCACCTATTGTTGAATTACGTTAAGAACGTAACGAACTGCATAAACGCGTACTGGCTAAGAAGGATTGGTTTGTAGCCGACTCGAGCGTAGACTTAACGAATCTCAGCGTACCCATGCACGTTTTAGTGTATACAGACACCATTAAAAGTTAGTTTCATTAGTGCAGCGAAACGTCAAAACTAAGAAGGAATTTTTTATTGCAGACTCGAGCGTAGACCTAACGAATCTTATCGTACCCATGAACGTTTTAGTGTATACAGACACCAGTAAAAGTTAGTTACATTAGTGCGGCGAAACGTCAAAACTAAGAAGGAATTTTTTATTGCAGACTCGAGCGTAGACTTAACGAATCATAACGTACCCATGTACGTTTTAGTGTTTACAAACACCAGTAAAAGTTAATTACATTAGAGCAGCGAAACGTCAAAACTATTATTTCTTGCAGACTCGAGCGTAGACTTAACGAATCATAACGTACCCGTGTACGTTTTAGTGTTCTCAGACACCAGTAAAAGTTAGTTACATTAGTGCAGCGAAACGTCAAAACTATTTTTTCTTGCAGACTCGAGCGTAGACTTCGCGACCCTGGACGTGCCTGTGAACGCCGCGGCGACGGCGCTCAAGGATTACCTCAAGCAGCTGCCGCCGCTGCTGCCACCTGGCAAGATGGAGCAGCTCACCGCCATTGCAGGTAACTCGAATGTGCCTTCTTCTGTGGATGGATTAAAGTAATATTTATACGGGAAAAAACTCTTCGTTGTGACCTAACAAATCCGTTCCACATTTTTGTTCGAATTAATACATCTCAATGTGGGGGTAGCTAGTAAGTAGTAACCCTCTTCTATACTATTTCAAAAAGAATCAAATTGTTTATTGTATTTGAAATGAGATTAAAGGGTCCGCTGTGAGGCAGGAAAATTAGTGCTCAGCATATAGTTTGCTTCAGAAAGCCTTGCGTTGAATATTTATGTAGCTTAGTTTCTAGTTCCTTTATTACCTTCACGAAAAGATATTTAGTAGAACCATGAAGCCTCTTGTTTATTTTACTGCAATACCTTCTTATTTCCTTCCTCCTCTGCACGTCTCTTCTGAAAACCTCCTCGCCTGGCGAATGACGTCGAAAAAAGTTGATTTAATTGAAAAGACATTTAATGAGAAAATAAACGTTAATTCATCTTCAGATGCGTGGTTGATCTCACCCACAACTGCAAAGTTTGTACATTTTTTTAGCCACCTTCCCTCAGCCAGTCGTAAGGTTTCCTATACGAGCAAATGATACCAAGGAGTTAAGCTTCCCTCACTTCGGGTCACCCGAGGTGTCGCTCTGGATTGGTTGACTCTGTTTCTTTTCCTGGCTTATCTCGCTCATCTATTATAATTTTGAGTGTAACTCTAAAATCTTAGGCATTTTCTTCCACTTTCATTTAAGCTTTATTGATACTTATGAACTAAATAAATATTTCTGTGCTGTTTCGATCTTTTCTTGAGCTTTAAACAAAACAAAATTTTTACCCTATTTTCTGTTTACGTTTATGCAAAAACTAGAGACTTAGAGCGTTGACCAATTTCCAGTCCTACTGTTCCTCTTTTGGTCCGAGAAGGAAATCTTTTTAATCTATTAACGGTCATGAATAATATTTAATTATGAAGGCCTAAAATTCCGCACATTCCGCTTGATTTTATTCTTCCTGCTTCCTTTAATTAAAACTTTTTAACAATTTAAAAGAAAGTTGATTGCTTTGCACTGTTCATTTCCTGACTTCCTTCTGCTTGTGGTGAATTAAGTATGCTAACTCGAGGTTGCATTGTTTCTGCTTTCATGAAATTCGCTGCTTGAATTTTCTCAATTTCTTCGACCGGCACGCACGGGATACACCCCAAATGAGCCCACGTATAACACCCAATCACGACTCAATTCATTCATACAATTGAAGAGTTCTCACTGACTGATATTTACCCAGCTTATAGGTGCAATATTTCAGTTATTGACTGTCGTGACCATTAAATCTCATTTAATATTAACATCATCATGTCTAAATCATAAACTGTTGACAGCATGATATTTAAAACTAAGTAAGTTTACGTGCTAACAAAAATTATTCATGTAACTAATTCTTCTGTTGTTATGCTGATGTTGTTGCCGCTATTAACCGTGACTGCCGGTCATTTTGCTTGATTATTAATGCTAGCTAGAGCACGAGAGCTTTGGTTGCTGCCATGGTAACGCTTCACTAACGCATACACTGGCCATTGTCGCCGCCCTCTCTCCATAGCTTCACCCCTTCCAGGCCAGGGAGACCGCAGCTGTCGCCTGCTCAAGCTCAAAGAGCTTCTCACAGAACTGCCTTCACTCAACTTCCTTATCATCAAGTTCATCTTTCAACATTTCGTCAGGTGAAATTTTAACAGTTTTAGATAGACGGGCAAGTTTATTTCCCTATTTCATGAAGTTGTCAGCTCTGCCAAGAAAATCTGGGTATACTGCTCTTATTTTTACGTGAGTGAACCGAGAACGTAATAGAATCTCCTTGTTTAGTTTTCATTGTCATTTTTTAATATATTACAATTGTGATTGAGGGATGTTTATACAATAAATGATATTAGATTAATCTTTTTTGCAGAGTGGCGGAGCACAGTAAACTCAACTCCATGGACAGCAAAAATCTCGCCATCTGTTGGTGGCCAACTCTGTTCCACACGCTCCAGTTCACAGACATAGTAGAGTTTGAAAGCCTCAGACCACACATAGAAGACATCGTACAGACAATGATCGACCAGTTTCCTTTCCTCTTTCAAGGCAAGGAAGACTACGTCATGGTCTGATTCAAGATTCATGAATTGCAGTTTCTTCGGAGAACTTCTGGCCGAGAAAAACTGCCATTTATTTTTAAAACTTTTTTTCCTAATTTAACCTGTTATTTTCATTTTATACTGCGTCGTGAAAACTCTCGGTGGAGTTATATTCCAGTAAATGGAGCCTAAAGCCAGTTATTTCAGCTCGAGTTGATTAAACAATAATGTCATTATTTAGAAAATAAATACTTTGAATACTCATTTTTTCATGTTATAATTCCATTACCAAGTCATTACATATCCCATTTGTTGGAGGCAGCTTCAACGACATGATTTCTTTACACTAAAGAAAGAAATATTGGAAATCCAGGCTGCAATCTCGGTAATGCATTCTAGAGACTGGGTAGAATCCCTGAAAGCAACTGATGAACAATAATGTAATGTTATGTGGTCTTATTGATTTGACACAATAGCTTAGGTGACCGCAGAATCTCGTTTCTTGTTAACGGGTTAGCCCGATTTTTTTACGATTTTTTTATCCATCTTAACATTATTTTTACTGGAGAAACTTGGCACGGTCAATGTCCCTCACTTGTGTGCACTCAATCATTTAGCTGTGAAATGGTTCTTCTGATGTCAGATTCGAATAAGTGATAGCTGTTCATTCCAGGACGTGTAATGTGTAAGGAACGATAAGCTAAGATTACTTTAGAGGTGCATTGGTGGCTGCTGGTGATGGCAGCTGCTGGGTCTTGCCTCAGCTTTGTACCTGAGTCGAATTATGCCGCCACGTGTTGCTGTCGCCTCATGGAATGTCTGCGAGGACCTCATGTGTAGCGACTTGCTTATTGCACGTCATTGATCTTTCTTAAGTTTCCTGTAGCTTGGAGGTAATGATTCAACGTAATTTTCATCCCGAAGATAAAGTGGCCAAAGTGTAGCCACTTACAACGGAATGTTGTACTTAACTATCAAGATTAAGAATAATTGATTAATTGAACTTTCAGTAATGAACGGAGCATTGAAATTTTTTATTTCATCTTCCAATATTTTGTCGCATAGCTTGCACACATCGAATGCACTCAATCATCAAAATTGTATCCGTCCCATTCGACTTCTGACGAGTATGCACAGTTGTTCATTGTTTTTACGTCTCTTCTTTTTGTTGATAGTAGGAGGAGATAATTTACCGTTGCACATATTACAACTCCGTCAGCTCGGTGATTTGACGTATATTATTTCCGAGACTTCTGTCGTATAAATGAGAAATCTATGCCCTTATCCGTTCCATTTGCAATTTTCTAATATTTGGTTATTGTTGTTTAGACTGAACTTGTGTGCTCATGCCATGATATTTCTCTTATCCAGCTAGGCTAAAAATTTTCAGGCAGGGCAATCAATTCGTTATAACTTTCTCATCTTAATTATTTAATCGCAATCCCTTACACTGATAGGTGACTTACATTAATGAGTTTGTATTGAGCTTTCAATCGAAATTTATTAAAAGCTCAAATGCAGCTTTTTTAAGTTCAGATTCGTCTTGTTAGTTGTCACATTAGCTTAAGGCGAATGCCATCAACAGTATTTTTGTGCCGAGCAAGAAGTGTTCTGTGACTGGCCGTTTTATGGAACCATGACGCCTGCAGAGAGAGCAGCTTTTCGATATTATAAATTGAGATGTTGTCGCACAATGACAAATTTTGTCGCATTTTAGTCTGGACGTTCATGTCGTATGTCTTTTATATAAGGTATTATTTGTGCACAAAGACTTGAAGCCATTTGACAGTTATTGTCATTGATATTTGGTCAAGGTTCAGTTTTTTGTCCATTCTGATTGTTTGGACGTTCTTGGTTCATTGCCGTAAAAAAACTAAATAGGCGTAGTCCTTGTGACTTGAGATGTCTCATCTCAATACACAACTTAACTCGACAAGAGGTTAGTTAGCTTCAGTGCAAGCGACATTGATAGAGCGTCATCGAGGCAAACCTAACAAGTTATTCATACGATGACCAGGTGCTAGACATTATCTGATGAATTGTTACACTCAAGTGATGTATAGTCTCTGAAAAGAAATTCGCGAACTAATGTTAATAACTCATTCCAGAGGCTTCAGCTTAGATATTTCCATGTCAATAACACGTGAAATTGTCTTCGGCCTACCGTTTACTGTTTATTTTCACCAATATGATTCCGTGTTGAGCTGCTTTCAAAAGGTGCTTGAGATAACGCCTGCGTGTCCAAGCCACTATTCCACTGTCGGTCTGCGTGCCAATGTTTATTATATACGTTAGCGTTGCGCTAGTTCAATACAAAATAAGATACGAATTTCAGTTTAGCCTTAGTGAAACTCTAAGCTTCTCTAGGAACTCTATAATTAATATTATTAAGCAAATGATACTTTTTCTTGTAGTTCATCCATATGTGGCTTTGTAGCGTTTTGATCGAAATTCTTCATAGCTCACTGTCGTGTAAATATTTTTTTTCGCACGAATGGCCGTCACATGGTGCCATCACTTTATCTAGCGTTCGTAGACCTCATTAATATACATAGATGACGTGGTTCGTTCTCAGGGCACTTCGCTTCGCCATGTACGAATGAACGAATATGCATGTTATGGGATAGAGGCTATTCTGGTGCGCTATCCGAATGACCAACTGAAATTCCTTAATATAGGTTGACCAGATCTGTGCTAGTCCATCATTGAAAGACAACAGTTAACGTTGTATAATCTGTTAAGCGCGGTCAGGCTAAATTACGTTTGATTTAATAACTTGAGCTCTGCATCTCGCAGCAAATTATCTGAAAACGTTTCTGAAGACGTAGGAATTTCCCATTACGTTACTAGTCACTTTATTTTGTACAACTACGTGAGAACTACATTAGTTCCTTGCATGTGTCGAGTCAGATGGGTCACATGCAGATTTGCATACATATTGTGTTACAATTTTGTAAATAATTCCTCCACACTAAAGAAAGATCTTGAATAAAGCTGTACAGCAGATGCATATTGCAGTTTCTCTTCAACGCCCCCTAATTAGAGTACGCGTACGATTGGACGATTCCCCAGGCAAGTTTTTAGCGCATTTTCTCATTTATGGAAAAAAAGGCGCTAGTATGCCATGTTCGCCAGTGATTTCACGTTTTCGTCGACGAGAAAATGCGCTGTCACTCAGTGCAGTGAGTACAGAGTTGTATTTTTTACCTCATGATTCATAACTATCTCTCAATAGTCTGGCAACGATTTTCCACAGCGCCACCCGGCCTTCTTAGCTCCAACTGTAAATTTACTTGATCAAGTATTCAAACTTTCTACAAATTCACGTTTGTTAAGTAGTATTCGTAATTCGCTGCGGGCACCTGGTGTCACGCGGATGATGTGCGAACTCTGAAGCCTCTCTACAAATACGCGATCGAAAAAATGCTGGGGCAAATTGCCTCACACCCTCGAGTTTCCTCAACATTTGCATCGATAATTTTGAATTTTCAACAAAAAGGGACTATGCAGTCGAGACATGTTCGCTACCATTTTGTTAAAGGATTCAAGAAAATGAGGCACTATCACGGAGCGTCACCTTTACTCGGGCTTATTAAAGACATAAGTGAGGTGGCAACGGCCGCAGTACTGGCGGTCAAACATGTTGGCCATGAAGACACCAGCACCACAATCTTCGCCTGGGCACTCACGACGTTGACGCGTGATCTTGCCGTTATCGTCCACCTGTACGGGGAATGAACGAAATAAATACATATTAAAGAATGAAGCAGAGCAGGTCATTTCAAAATTTACTGATAGTTGACACCATCGCTATCACGGAGAAAGAAAAAAACAGGCGCTGCTAGCAGATGATAGCGTCTTATATCAGTGACATTTTATGGCAGTGGGTTAATAGTGCAAAACATTAAAATTAACCAATCCACATGAATACGTTTCATATGCCGATGAACAAGTGACCAGTGGGGACTAGGTGACCTAGCACGAAAGATATGGTAGCTAGACTGACAAAATACAGCGTACCTTGTAATATTTGAGAACAGGCAGCTTGACCTTCTTGTGCTTGTGCTTGATCTTCTTAGGCGTAGTGTAATTCTTCTTCTTGCGCTTCTTGGCGCCACCACGCAGGCGCAGCACGAGATGTAACGTTGACTCCTTCTGAATGTTATAATCGCTCAAAGTACTGGAAGGTGGGAGAATACATCTTGTGAGTTACGTTCACTGAAAGTATAGCTAATAGCAAGTGAATAAAAACCAAATTGAGCAAGGATTTTTCATTTGTGATCACAACATGAGTGTAGTGCAAAGCACAAGCACCAATAGACAAGACAAAATCTACACGGGACCAGCTCAATGAAATTTATGAATTCTCCATGCACAATAATTCGTAAATTATTCAAGTGAAAATTCTTAATAATGACTATTCAATTTCATTGCAGAGATAATATAATATACTCTAACAATGCAGTGATATCTGAACTCACCGGCCATCTTCAAGCTGCTTGCCAGCAAAGATTAATCTCTGTTGGTCAGGAGGAATGCCCTCTTTGTCTTGAATTTTAGATTTAACATTTTCAATTGAGTCAGAAGCTTCAACTTCCAACGTAATTGTCTTCCCAGTGAGAGTTTTCACAAAGATCTGCATCTTGCCAACTGAAATAAAAATGAAAAGTCAGGTAAAATGATGAGCATTGATTCCCCAACTCATTGATATAACAAGCTTATGAATTCATTGTTGAGGCATGCACTTGTTTTGGGAAATCCAAACCAGATGTGCAAAACCTCAATTACTTTTGTCCACAACCACGACCCAGGCAACTCTAGGTAGCACGGGGGGTAACGTGGACTAAAAAAATTTACACATGCCTTTAAAAATAAACAGAAAATGCATCCATTTTAAACTAAATTACAATGTACTTCAAGTTTGCTTCACTGGTTCCAAGGTATAATCCGGAATCATTCAAAATTTTCTGTCATCCATTCATCAAAGCCGCTGGCATTTGGCAATTACTTAACAGTTGTCATGAACTGAGGAACTCACAGTAGGCTAATAAAAAGATAACAGAGAATCCAGGAACTTATAATCTTGCAGAGTATGCAAGATGGAAGGCATAAAAGAATACTCAACAGAATGGAGAACATAAATTCGTAAATAATATGGAGGACATAAATTCAACATCATTGGACATGAGGTTGAAGCACAACATTAAAACCTGAGGTGATTAGGTTCAAGAAAAAAGCTAACTTTGACCTATGTTAATCACCAGTCTCCACTCAACATATCAGTTTTCTTCCAGTAAAATGTCAATTTTCTTAGCATTATGTCAATTAGGTTCATTGTGCATTTGCAAGTGTCCCCATCTCCCCATCTAATGTCTCCATCTCCTACGACTTTTGCCCACATAGGTTTCTAGAGTGTCAGGGGCCTCAAACTTAAGATTGCAAAAGGTACATCTAAATATGTTCAAAACAATATTGGCTAGTTCTTACTTCTTACTGAAATCTTACAGCTACAATCTGATATTTTTCAAATAACTTGGGAATGTCACAGCTTGATTGTTCACTGCAATTACAATCAGATAGGAGTTAAGGGTTGGAAAGTAGATATATTCCACACACATTGCCCAAAGCATATTTTAAGTAAGTAAAACTTGCTTAAAATGAACTCATTTTAAGCAAAATGAGCAGTTTTATTTTGTGATAATTTATAATTTAAAAGGTAGTCATTTTTTTATTTCATTACATTATAGTATGCCCTGAATGACTAATTATTGACTGCAGAACAAGTTTGAGCACCTAATAAATAAATTTATAACAGGTGGTTTATTCTCAACCTCATATTGGCATGGGTTGTTTTCAGTCTTGCACAATACAATTCATGTAATGTGTAAACACACAAAACATTTTATTCTTCACACTGAAATTGGCTAGTTTGTTGGAGGCAGCATGGAATTCTGGATAGGTAATATATTCTCATGTTTATAAAACAAAATGAATCGGAAGGCCTGCCACATTACACCTCCCACTGCTATGCCATGGTGTACACTGAGCTCATACCTTGTGAAAGGCTGCTGTTGGTTTGATGTCGTGCAATTTACCAACTGCATGTGGATCTCCATGTCAATTCTCAATTATCTATACTAGTTATTCATTTGAAAGTTTAACTACCCCTTTTTACTTGTCCTTACACAAATTGTATTGCACATTTTTATCTGTATTCTTACCAAATTCACTTTATATGACACTGAAAATTTTGGGCTCACCAATAATTATGTCTTCCATTTGTGAGTTTTTGAATGTGTCAGATCTTTTAGAAAATGTTCATTGTTTATAGGTGTAAATTGCTTTTATAAATGAGAAAGGCAGGATTTTGAGAACTTAGGCATGTGTTACATGGTGGTATTAAAGTTATCTAGCAGTGACTTTCAGAATTCAAATCCCAAAAAAAAATTATAAAAGTTTTTAGAATTCATAATTTGATTGATAATTTTTTCAACAAAATTGATAATTTTTATAAATATAATTCAAAAATTAATGATCATTTATGAATACCAGAAACCTTATGAAAATGGTTTCACAATTTATAAAAATAGCACATGGACAAGTAAACATGACATGAGGTTATTTGATATTCAATTCAATTTTTATGCCTAACGTTTGTTGAGGTTATATTGACCAATGAATGGTAGAAGAATGACAAATTTGAAGGTACTTGTTGCTTGGTTGGGTTCGACAGCTTTGTTGGAATAAAGTTAGAATTTTAGTATATTTCACAATTTATAGGAACAGCACCTTTAGGAGTAAACATGACATAAGGTAATTCACAATTGTAATTTAAATGCCCAACATTTGATGCAATTACATCAACCAATCACTCAAAGAACAATTCCATTGTTGTCCATTGATTACAAATTAAATGACAATTAAGGGATTCAGTAGGTAATTTATGGATCCCAAATATTCATAGGAATGAAAATGTCCCTATTATTTTATTTCAAAACTGTTCCATGAATATGATAGTGAAAAATATACTTTTATATTAAATGGAATGAGTATTTGAACAAAATAGATTAATTTAAAATATTTAGTTCTAAGAGTGAGATCATTGAAAGTGGTAAGAAAAAAATTTAATTCATTATTTAACCCTTTGACGGGTGAGTTACCATATATGATCACTTGAAATCGCGTCACAAAAAGCATCACCACGGCTTCCTGTTTGTTTTTGAGGCATCCTTATAATGCCTCAGTCAATCACTAATTATCTGACCATCATTCTATCTATAGCATCACCAGCTGCAAAGTCCACCAATTGAAATATGAGCATTTAAATGAAGGTTTTGACTTGGACAATGGAATTGATGCTCTTTCCGCATTTTCTTCAAAAGGTGGAAATATCAATATTTATATTTATTTATTTCGGCAACTTGATTAAATTTAATTACATTAAATTTTTATGTTTCTAATTTTTCATTTGCATAAACTGAATTTTAATTATAAAGAAAAATTTTGTGTACTGATCGCATTTATTGAATTCTTCAAGTGTGATTTAAACCTTGAATAGGCAAAATTTGCAAAAATTCATAGAAATAAATATATTGTACAATACTTCTTACTTTCTTGAAATTGTTTCTGAAATTTTAATTTCCGGATATTTCAATGCTTGCCCGCTAAAGGGTTAAAAGTCAAAAATTATTCAAAACCATCAGAAATTGTGCAAATGTTGATCAACTTGAAATGAATGCATTGTTAACACTGTTTAAACAATTATTATAGGTAGTTCATTGTGACTGCAAACAAAGAGATTGCCAGATGTGGGATTCAATTTGTTTTGCACTTGGAGTTTGTAGATTCAAAATTATGTTATATATTTGGATAGCTTAATATTTTTTGTTTGCTCTAAATTTATTAGTGCAGCACGTTTTTGTAGCTAATTTACCATCCATAGCTCTTGTTTCCAGTCAAAATCAATTTTCACGATGGCAAAATTTTAATGTTGCAAATGACAATAATAAATTTGATGGTCAACTTTTGGGAAGCTTTAAAATTTGAGTGAAATAAATAAAATAATTAAGAGTAAATCAGTTTTCGTATCCTTGACAATTATTATATCAAGATCTTTTGGAGTCTGATAAAAGCAGAAGAATTCAAGTTGTGAACAACAGAATTGTGAATTGAGGTCAGGTAGTTCGGGGCTGGAAAAAGTCCTAATTTTTTTCTGAAATATCCCAGCTATAATACTTATCATAGAATTTCAGTAGGTAGATACGAAATCTTGTGGCTCAAATGTCATGAACTATGAATTTATGTTAGATTGAAAAATCACGGTTTGCAACTTAGCAAACATGTCACTCCATAAAATTTTCAACTTCCACAATGATATTACCTCAATACCTCCCATCTAATTGGCAACATAAATGCATGATCTGGCCACATGATTCCAATTGTATTAAAAATTTCTCACATTGGAGCTGCAAGATTTCAGAAACGAGTAGGAAAATTTCAATCCTGCAGTGTGCATTGTGTTGAACTCTTATCTTATTGGTAGCAAGGTAAATAATAATAATAACAAACAATAATGATTTGTTGATTGTCATTACTTCATCAAGGTTAATTTGTTGTGTTCAATGGTTCAACCTAGTGACAAATTGTCTATGATTATGAGTTAATATTTATTATTTAGTTTAATTGAAATCCAAGTGTTGCAACTTGCAACTTTCTTTTATCTAAGTGCAACATTAGCCTATTTCCTAATAATTTTTCTTTCTTTCTATCTTAGGGTAAACGCGGTATATTCCGTCACATTAAGGACGCATCGAGAAATGAAAAACTACAAAAAAAAATAACCGTATGCGTTACTCAAGTTCTGTTTGCTTTGTTACTCTCAAAACACCGCACTACGTGTCAGCAAACAACGAAACGTCACAAAATGTTGCCATATTTATTTAAAAGCCTTTAGAATGCAAACCTACCAAATCCATATATTCCGTCACTGTGTGTGGCAATAATATTCGGCACGTGGTGAGGCGTATTCCGTCCAAAGGTCCGCGCTTCAAATTCTACTGATACGTAATGCCGTCATCCACGTGTTCAAATTCCGTTCGCTGTGGGAGCTGTATTGGAATACAACACGGCTTTGAATTAGAACACTAATGAATATTGAACACTACTTAATTATGCTTTTAATTAACAACTATTAAGCTTTTAATTAAGCAAATTTTAATTTTTGTACAAAGCTAGGAACGATCTGTGTGTTTCCAATTCAAGTTGTGATGGAATTAGTTTTCATGTGTCTAAATCCATTTCTCAACTTAATCATCTATTAATTTATTTACCACTTGAAATCAGCGAATACAAGTATACTTAAAGGATTCCTAATATATTCACAGATGTATTTAAAAGTCTCAAACCATAATATTCTTCCTATACAAATAGTTATTCACTATTTGGTAGAGCAACGTCAACTGTCAAATTTGACACATTTTTCGATGATCTCACTGGGTAGCGTGCATTGTCTCTTTGGATCTCAATATTTTCCCGCTAGATGGCCAAGACCTAGTGTTTTGGCAGTAGTTGGACACGCAAATGTATGACGTCACCATTTCAACCATCAACGAACGCATGGAACTAAAACAAAGCTTAATATAAAGGACAAACTAGAGAGGTGACAGAATTACCCACGATGACGGAATATAGATACGCGGTATATTCCGACATTGTGGGTAATTCCGTCACCTCTCCAGCTTTTTCTTTATATTAAGCTTTGTTTTAGTTCCATGCGTTTGTTGATGGTTGAAATGGTGACGTCATACATTTACGCGTCAAAATACTGCCAAAACACTAGGTCTTGGCCATCTAGTGGGAAAATATTGAGATGCAAAGAGAGACAATGCATGCCACTAAGGCAACAGAACTTACGTAACGCATACGTTTTTTTTATAGTTTTTCATTTCTCAATGCGTCCTTAATGTGTCGGAATATACCGCGTTTACCCTACCGCGTTTACGGTTTTACCCTAACTGAATTTTTAATGCCAGAAAACCAACCAAGGTGGATCAAATTATTAAAAATTATATATAACCATCACTTAGGCTATAGAATTCCATTTTGTTAACAGAGGTGAAATTTGTCAAAAATGCAAAAAAAAATTTGAATGAAAGCATGGTCGATGGTCATGATATTTTGAATTAAAGATACCTAACACAATACAAATGTGACATCGATGCCACTTGCCACATAGTTAGGTACTAGGCCTACCTAGTCAACTAGTGACAAACCCAAAATTTTTTTAGAATCAGATAATTTTTAATTTTCTCCTTTACACATGATTTAAACCAATATCATAGGTATGTTAATGCTGGTATATGTGGTACCCATTATACTTTGATGCTCCTACTTGTTGACATAGTGGCAAAGCAGAGAGTTTTTTAGACTCTCCTTCAAGTCCTATAAGTAGACCAGAAATACCAGCATCAAGTCATGCTGGTATTTCATCATCATGAATACCAGCAGTGTGGAAATCCAGAGGGGTAATATATTAACTGGTAAACATAGCAATTTGGAAAGCAGGACCCAAAAATCTGGAACGTCCAGCACACTTCTGAATGGAAGCATTCTATGCTAAAAATTGAATTGTATTCTGCCATGATTGGTTTATCATCAGTATTGTCCATTATGAATACGTATACTATTACGTATTATCCATTATGAACAACCTTGCTTGATTTACTATCGGAAAAAGTGTTGTTTGAAGAAACGTTATGTTAATGCCGAGCGGTTCCAGATGGAACCAAGCTATAATTTTTCACATACAACGAAAAATAAATATATGAACATACTTTTTGCTTATTACCATCACAAATGATAATATTCTCACAAGGAACCGAAAAAAAATTCAGAAAATAATTCTCGTCATTAATGGGTTAATCAACTCGTATATAGGCGACTTTTGCATTCAAGTATATCGGCAAGATCTAATGGAACTTTTTTCAGAATCAAGAGTACATCCTTTACCGGCTGCAACGTTGTGAGGCCTCCTCAAGATATCCTTTGCTCACCGGAGTGACGCGTCTCTACCGGCGACCTCGGAAACGTTCATGTGGGGCGCAAAGCTTAAGCAACCTATCCAAGATCTTCCTTGCGCATGGGTGACTGTGGTCAGTGAGTGATGAGTTTCTACTGGTGTCAGTAGCGACCTTGTAACTTCTACTGAGCACAACGTGTTCTACTGAGCATAACGTGTCTTTCAGTAGATTCCTCTTGCTTATCCGTGAGTGACGCGCACAATTAACAATATTGGGAAGTTCTCTGTGTTGCCTGACGTAACGTTCGTGCCAAGGCCGATTTCTGACGACCTGCAAACCTGTTTCTAGTTGCCACTTGCCTGGAACGTTTTTTTTCAAGGCGGAACGCTTTTTTTTAAGTGAACCTCTAATCTTAGATTTCCACTCTGAATACCAGCATCATCATACATGAGATATTGGCTTTAATGGCTTAAATCTTGGGTAAATGAGAAAATTAAAAATGCACTGATTCTAAAAATCACTGGTTTGCCACTATGCAGCTTGTACTAGACTAGGACTCTAATTAACCTTGAGGAAGAGTCTAAAAAAAACTCTGCTTTGCCATGGATGGTGGCAAATGGTAATTTGATGGTATCATCTCGCTTGCAGCCTGCATAGTGGCAAACCAGAGCTTTTTTAGAATCAGTTCATTTTTAATTTCCTCATTTACTCAAGATTTAAGCCAATTTCTTTAGTATGCTAATGCTGGTATGAGTGGTATCCATGATACTTTACTGGTTTACTTATAGGACTCAAAAGTGAACTTGAGGGAGAGTCTAAAAAACTCTCTGCTTTGTCACTACCTAGGTATGCTTGCAGGGAATGGCAAAGCAGCCAAAATGGCCTTAAAATTGATGAGATAGCTAGCCTACAAATCTAATGGCTTTTCATCAATTCACAGATTGAGAATAATCAGGGTAAAACTCTGAGGGAATGGTTTCCTTCTAGGTATTAATCCAGGATATCACTAGGCCTAGGCGGGCCTGCTAGGCCTAGTTGTTATTTTTGACTTCGAAAAGGTGTTTAGACTAAATGGCATGGAAAACAAAGTGCACAACAGTAGTGCACAACAAAGTGCAACAACTAATAACTAATACCTAACCATCATCAACAATTTATCATCAATTCAACGGCCATGTCTTACAAGACTCGCAAAATACCTACAGAATTTTAGACATCACAGGTTCACATTAATTGTGCAGCAGAAATATTTTTGCTTAGGTACCAGACTTCTACTGTACAATAACACAACACTTCGGAAGTTTGGAATTATGTAAACACGACATTCATAATTATAAATAATTGCAACGTACCTGCTCCGATGCGGGAGCACGAAATTCCAAACCTACTCTTCACCGAAAGAACTAAACATATGGTTCTCTTCTCAATAATGGTACTGTAAGATGCAGTACAGACAGCACTTGAGAAATTTTAATTTTTTTGTCATTTTTTTTACATGATTGTAAATGCTAAGAACATAAATATATTTGAGATTACACTCATAAAAAAGCAACGTTTTGGTTAATACATTTTTTATTGAAAATTGATTCCCGCAAGCCGAGAATTTCAACCGCTCCGATTCTTAGACGTGTTTCACAGCATGCAAAAATTTGTTTTCGAAATCGATCTTGATTTCATGAAAAAGTTATTTATTGGCATTACGCTCGAGCGAGAGTTGTCAATATATTTTTCCCAATTCGACTTTAATTAGTGCCATAAATGTTAACTTCTATCACAATTTCCACTTTTTTGTACCGAATCGACATTTCAGCGAACTCGCCTGGGAGCTCGAATGGAAAACCTAACTTCATTTTTTGTTAGTTACTCAAAACCGGTATGTACATAAATTGAAACATAGGGGTTTACTGAAATTTAACCCTCAAATGCCGTTGATGCCATTTAGCAAATAGTTTACACTGAGCAAGGAAAATTTCTATGACTAAAATTAAAGGCTTACGATACGTCAACGATATTGTGTTTCGTTAACACTGCGCCACTGAACGTGTTATAAATGAAATACTCGATATGTGGTGATGCTCACAAAATCGCTTTCTAAATTGCCTTGCAGGAATCAAAATTTGTAAAAAAAATATCATGGATATAAGGCCAGCAATATATGAATGTAACTTCAGGTGTAAAACAGACATTTTGAATTTAATTTTGTCATGAATAAACCGTCGGACAAGAAAAAATAAGTAAATAAATCAATCAAAGAAAAGGTTTAGAATAAGAAGTATGAAAAGAACAGGCAAACTTACGTTACTCAACTTTATCATTGATAAAGAATATTTAAATGACCATCGAGCTCTATCAAACTAGCGACAAACAAAACATCTGCTGTTCATGATAAATGAGAGCGACCATGGTCAAAAAAATTGCCTTGAATACCGAATTGACGTACAAGTGCAAATAATTATGAATCTTACAGCTATAATAACTTCGACAAGCACGTACATGTACATCTGCTCATCACATAAGGGTAAAATAATATTGCAGTGAAATTTATTTGCGTACATCATTAGACATGAAGTGACGTGTTTACTTATAACGGCGCAGAGTGGTGCGCGGTTGACCGAAGCAATCCTTCATTATTTCACGCAGTTCCACCTCTTTATGGCACTGCTGTTTTCTAGACCCTTGTAGCTATAAAATAATAATATATGGAATAAAAATCTAAGAAAAACCTCTGACTTTCAACCTGTGTTTGGCAAAAAGTGTGTCCTAACACAAATGAATATTTAATTATGAAATTGAGCATTTCTGGATTGATGATTTATTTAGATGGGGGCTTAGATGCAATATTAAGATTAGTCCAATATTGTGACTAATATCTTTTGCTATAACACACAACCAATAAAAACCAAAAATTGGTAAGGCCGAATAAATTAAATTAGCATTATGATTAGTTTATGACGACTTGAACCAAATCGCATCGGGAGATAAAATTTACACATATATTTCAACCACGCCGACTGTACCGGCATGCCTGGAGGAACGATGACACCTAACCATGCATGGCACTTGTCTTGTTGCAGGCCGGGTCTGACGCTCCCGCCGCTGCCAGTTCAGCGGTGGACAGCAAGACCGTAAAGCGGGCGCATCTGTGTCCTGTCGTCTGCTGTACGCTAGTTCCGTACATGTAGAGAATAATATAAATACATGCATAAACAGTCCTGTAATATACTTGGGTTATTTGAATTGTGCACAATAACTTGAAGCGAATAAAGTTTTGCGAGAATAATTTCGGTGTCAATAAAGAAGATTAGGAATAATAGTAAACACAATGTAAATATGTTTTCATTTCAGGTACTTTCAATTAGTTCTCCTTTTATACCTTCTAAAATTTCATGTTTTAAATTTAGCTGCACCATACTTCGTCAATTGACGTATTCATATTAAATTGAATTTTGTGCTATTAATATTATGCATAGATGAAGAATGGTGGACCACAGTTTCCAGAGGGATGATTCTAAGGACAGTTTTTTTGACAAGATCCAACATTCAATGAATAGATGAATGATATAAAATTTGGTGAATACAAGGGACAAGATTGGATCGACTCCTATGTTGCGAACACCTTTCATTAGTTAAAAGCAGCCATTTTTCGAGAATATAAAAATGAATTGCTTACTGTACCAAAATTAAAATCTTCTCCTTAAACAAGTGAATGCATACAGTAAAGGCGCCAAATACTGCACCCGCGACCATGGCTGCCACACGCTCGGTACTACTCGTGTTCACGCTCGTCATCGTCTCGAGATCTCTGGTGGCCAGTGAACGCCATTTGAACCTTACAAGAAATCCGGTCTTCAAGGTATTTTTAAGTAACTTTATTATCTCTTAGTATTATATGTTATGCTTTTTTTGCGCATGTTTGATTTTTTCCCTCAAGTTTTGATTTTTTTCCGATTTTTTGTCTTCCATGACCGTGATATTTGACGAAATGTAGGATTAGTGGGCGGCTTGAAGAAAGCACCGAATATGTTTTACTAGGACAAACGACTGTGTAATATCAAAATTAAGGTGACATTAATTGTATTCAGTTTATCGTAAATATTTTTAGGGTTTTGAAATTACTTTATTAAACCTTAATTTAATTGAAGATTCAACTTTATGTTCTGGAATGCTGAGTTCTATTCTCCCACAACCGTGTGAGTCGAAAGCTCAAAATGATCAACAATGATGAGTTTAGGTGCAGTGGATTAGAACCTGGCGAGCACCGGTTCACTTTTTATCGATGTCGAAGTATTAATTAAAGTAGGTAGCAATCCTTGTTGTTGTAAGTGGCGCTGTAGGTGAAGTGTCATGAGGTGTCACTGGCGTTACCAGCCCTCATGTCACTAGCGTTACCAGCCCTCATTTCACTAGCGTTACCAACCCTCATGTCACTGGCGTTACCAGCCCTCATGTCACTGGCGTTACCAGCCCTCATATCACTAGCGATACCAGCCCTCATGTCACTAGCGTTACCAGCCCTCATGTCACTGGCGTTACCAGCCCTCATGTCACTAGCGTTACCAGCCTTCATGTCACTGGCGTTACCAGCCTCATGTCACTAGCGTTACCAGCCCTCATGTCAGAGCCCCTTTCAAATATTCAATGCTTAATTTTCAAAAACTTCTTGAAACATTATAAAAATGTAGAATCGTCCGCACAATGTTTTATCTCTTCATATCATCACGTTTTTGCGAATTTCGCGCAAATAAAACTGTGAATTGAAGAAAAATAGAAGAAATAAACTTTCGGCAAAATGTTTCTGCCCTGATGAGATGAGAAAAATGTTGAAAGTGGGGTTGAAATAATTAATAATTTTTTATAAGATCAAGTGAATGGATGCAAATGAAACTTGTGTAAACAACAGGTTAGTGATGAACAAGTTATTATTTCATGACAGTTATTATACGGTTCACGTTTAATTACAAATCAAATATTTCGTCAAAATTAAACTCGGCAGCTGATGCGGGTAAAGAAGATTTCACATGTCAGTGACACCTCAATAAATTTCTAGATTCTAGAAGGATCACAACAACGCGAACGCAGTATATTGCGCGAACGCTTACAGGTTATCACATGAATTGAAACTATGATAGCTTGCAATTGTTAGCGATTGTCTACGGAAAAGGGCAAGAGTTCCGTTAGACTCTCGCAGCGGTAGACATGATGCATCAATATTGAACCTCCGCTACTCAGGTGGAGCGTGACCACACCAAATCGAACGCGATGCGACCAGCTGTTGTTGACGTTGCATCTGGTGCTACTGACGATGAAATTGGGGCTACTTACGTGTCACCGGATGCTGACGAAGTTACGGAGAGTACAACTGACGTTTCAGCAAGTGTTGCTGACTTGGCGGCTGATGTGCCAGCTGTTAGTGTTGCCAGTGTAGCGGCTGATGAAGCTAGCACCGCAGCCATCGTAGAGGACGTCCCCGCTAGAGCTACTGCTCCTGAGCATGTCAACGACGAGGCGGATGGTCATGCTGACACGTCGTCGCTGCCCGACGACGTGTCAGCACGGGAGGCTCACGTCAGTAGCGCAGGTACATAAAATTATCCGCATTTTTATCCCAATTACGTTTCTCATATTACTACAATACAACCTCATTGAACTCCAACAGTCCAACTCAATGGATTTAAGACTCCAACTCCATGGATTGACTTTAAATCCAAATAGTACATAAATCAGTGGATCAAAAACAAGACGTAAATCAATGACTCATGTCAAAATGTGAATTATTTAATTTAAATGGCGCGTTCACGCAGAATTCGTGAGGGGCGCCGCCTTCCTTTACGCAGATGACAAGCCCTGGAGCTCTGAGAACTTTTTGGATCTTCTGGGCGTGGAGCCTGCGCTGGAACTGACCACAGCTTCTGTCTTGGTGAGAGGGGCTCGAAAGTACATGAAATTGCTGCATATTTGTTTCAAATATGTTGACCGTCTGCTACTTCTGTCTCTAGGATAGGAAATGACGAGTTTGTATGATTATTGAATTGTGTCACCAATTATTAAAAGTTGAAGATAGTCCCCTCGTTTTTATTTAGCGATTTCTCCTTCAAAATTTATTTGAAGAAAGTTTTAATTCAATTTCTACTTCTTTGTTAAAATGACACAGCGTATTTTTTGTTATTTCTACTTCTATGTTAAAATGACATACTGTAATTTGGGTTATTTTCTTTATAATCCCTATTAAAAATGTAGGCACTAGTTCGCGTGTGAGCTGTGAAAATGATTCAGCAAAATTCTTAACCAGAGAATTTAATAGGGGAATAGAGGAAACCTCTTCGCAATATTGAATTAATGGCGGCACATAACAGTAAAGACATTTCTCTCATGCTTCATTTGTGCGAGATCGCCCCAGGCAGACAGCAACGAGGCCGCGCACACGCTGGAAAGAAAGAAAAACCCTCCGACAACGTCACCTCCCACTATTTCCACGACTAACACGAAGCCGCTGAATGTTGCCACAACGACCATCAAGCCGCTGAATGTTGCCACAAGAACCGCTATGCCACAGAATGTTGCCACAAAAACACAACAATATTTGATGAATGACGATGGCAAGTTTCTAATTTTTCTTACGACATTAGGCATACAAAGCTACAATAGTGATAAAGCATTAAAGTTAAGCAGGCATTTGTTAATAAACAACAAATAAATGCATTATTACCTATTTAAAATTAAATTTCCAATTTTTATGTGACTGGGATTGTGAGATGAAATAATACCGTCTTTTACTCAACAGATTCTCAGAGGTATCTTCTATCAACACGTTCAAACAGCAAATTTGCCACGACTTCAAAACCATACTATTCAGTAACAGCTTTTAGGACGAATGAGGTTACAGAAAAAATACCTCTTAATTCCACACTAATTGATACAGATCAAACAGTATCAACATCGTCGCTCTCAATTCATGTCCGCGATCGAGAAAAACTTTTGAGCGTAATCAAACTTTTTGAACGTTACTCCAGCCTCAGAAACACGACATTGATACCCCCTATCGATTATCAAAGTTCGGAATTGGATAAATATCTTCCTCTTAGTTTTCAAAGTTCATTTTCAACAAAAAATCCATCACTCCGTCCCACCAAAATCCCTCTCGCTGCTCTGAGTACGACAATTCCTGACACTAGAGTTAACAAACCAACCCCAGCAGCGTCTCTGCTCCAAAATATCCCCTTCATTACCTCCACCCGCCTCACTCCTGGTATCCTTATAGCCTTCGCAGACTTTATCAACGACATTGGCCAAGCCATCAGCAATTTACTGAGTTCGCTGGCTGATGCGTACGCTAACAACCCGGTGCTGACGATCCTGACTTTAACAGCTTTGGCTTTCTTTTTATTCAATTCCTTGATCAACTACTTTTGGTTTGGTTGGTTTGGAAAGAAACGCTACCGAGGATGGCACGGCTATAAGGGATACCACAAGCGAATGGATCGTGTAAATGATACCTCTGACTTGGACGACGCTAATAAACTTCAGAAGATACTCGACATCATTGATGAATATGAACTGAAGTACGGCGAGAAGATTTTCATTTGACTTCGAAGAAAAACATAGCAAATCGATTTAAATAAGAAGTAAATTTTCTCCACACACACACATATGACATAACCATTGCATCGCTACGGTTTTCTGAATAGTTTTAAAACGTTTGTTACAATTTAAGGAAGCGGTAGTATATTACTCGTAAAGCTATTTTGCTACACATTATAGACGGTATTGCAAGAGAGATAATCTAATCTGATAATTATTGTAATCTCACGCTACATTCGCTCAAACTCAACAACAAAAAATATTTCATTAAATAATTCAGCAGAGATCAATGCTCCAAAAGAGAATAGATTTGGATATTAAAAATTTAGTTTCGCTAACATGACCAATATTTTAGTGTGTTATTGAGAGGAAACCTTTGTTTCGTGTATTGTGTTCAACGACGTACGTGGAGTCACATCAAAATTAACGTGTATCAGCTGGGAGGCTTAGGGAAGATGTACTATGCAGCTGGTATAAGGATTCCAAAGTGTGCTAGTGTCGCGAGTCCAAAAATTTCTAAGATTATCAAAACCTAACTTTGGAAATAGTTAAAAAAAACAACCTCGTACGCAATTAATCTGAGAAAAATGCTGTGAACAATTTAACGTTTGTACAAGTTACTACCGAAGCGTCGGCCTGCCGTAGCAATGGCAAGCTTCAATTCGACCAGAGCGTCACACCAAGTTAAAATGGCTAGCAGCTGACCGTAGTTTTTCCTGTAAGAGCCTGACGCTTCTCATGCAGTAAGAGGCTCTCATATCTTGTAGACGACGCCACGACGAACCTCACCCTGGAATAAAGACAAACATTACTTTCTTTTTAATTTATCCCTGTAGCATAACTATAACAATGAATCTGTTTTAAATATAAAACAAATATTAGCTTCAGCTTTACCATTACACCCTGCCGTGCAAGTGTCACCTCCATCTGATCATGAATAGAAACGCATTGAACGCATTAATATGTAAGCAGTCACAATTTCCACTAGTAGGGAGGAAGGTGTAGTGCTGTACTTATGTGCTCTAAATTATATGTAACGGACCTATCTTCTCAGAGTACTTCTTAACGGTACTCCTGGCTGGGTCAGGAAATTGATCAAGGAAGTGGAGGAAGCGATGTAGGGGGCGGACAATCCTCCATCGTCGAACAAGTCAAACGAATTAATGGATCGCCTTCGTCTTCTGCGGCCAACAAATACGGGCAAGAGTGCAGCAAAAGTGGCCGGTATGAGACCAGCTCCAACAGCTGCCATCACGGCGAATGGGTTACCTCCTAAGAATCCGCCCCCGCCTCCGCCTCCTCCACCACCGGACTGTGGTGGTTGTGTAGTGGTTGTGGGTCTTTCAGTAGTAGCTATAGTTGTAGTTGTGGTTTCATCTGAGGCTCTTGTGATCGAAATATTTGCCACGGTCACGTTTGTGTCACTGCTGATATTTAAAGCGGAAAAAGGTGTTTCTGCCGGCAAAACATACAGAGGGTAACTCACGTGTGTGGACGCTGATACAGGCATTAAATGTGCTAGATTTTTATGTGAGTTGTTGGCGGGGCGGGGGTCTATGGAGTGCACTGTGCTGCTGCTCCAGGGAGTGGACGAAGAGCCCCAAGAAGTAGGCAATGAGCTCACAGAGTCGGATGTGGTTCCACCATTGTAACCACCGCTTAAGGTCTCGATTGAGGGACGTTCAGATGAGGTTGGAGTGTTGCTTTCGGTAACGCCCAATACCGTCAGGCCCGTACTGGTGTGTTGATAGGTTGAGTCTGAGCCGCTGCCAGGTTTAGCAGCACTTGTGAAAGGCCTAGAGTTAGAGCCATATGGAACGTACACAGGTGGCTTGTACTGCACTCCATCACTGTCGAGCTTACTGCTGCTACTCGAAACCTTATGCCAACTCCCAGTATTTCTATCCAGCTGTGACACTGTAGAAGTAGAAAATCTACTCCATCCATTTGGTTTTTGTTTCTTGTTAGCAAACTTGGTTTTAGAACTTTGCAAGGGTCTTCGATTTGCAGGATTGACTTTAATGCTATGAGACACGTGACTTTGGGAGTTACTGGCAACGCTTCTGGAGCTATCATCTGCAGACGCGTACGGCCATTCTAAGGCGTTACTGAAAATTGGTGATGGAATTTGTGAAGAATATTTACGTCCTTCAAAAATTGACCCGGGGAATAAATTGAGAGGTGCGATGATGTGCAACCCTAGCGGTAAGTCTTTTGTTATAGACGAGATCAACTCAGGGTTGCGGTAGTCTCGACCTTCAAACGAGTCCCTAAAATGACGTCGATTAGAATCCCGCTTTGGTTGATCGAGCTGCATCGGTCTGTATTGAGAGCCAGGCCAGAAGTCGTCATAGTCGCGAAAGTCTCTGAATAATAACTGCTTGGATTTTCTTTCATTTTTCTCGTCCTCGAAGTAAGAAGAAGCCACATCAGTCGAGCGACTTTCTTCATTGAAGCCGAAACCGTTTGATAGATTAAGACGTCTCAAATAACGTTTCGTTTCTTCGACACTCCTATGTCCTTCCTCAGTTTCTGTCTCACGAGGAACAACCTGAGCTGGGATAATAGAGGAGCAGGAAACTCCTTCCCTGCACCTGATTGTATAGAAATTTATTTTTTCATTGTTGTCTCCTATAGACACTAATGTAGGACCACTCGGTTCAGTTTGTTCTATGATGGGGGCATCATGGGTTTTAATTCTGTCTCCAAGTTTGGCGTCATTTGACACGACAGTGAAAGGCATTTGGATCATGAACGACCCCGGGGAATTATCTGAAGAAGAAGGAGAAGGAATTGCCCGAGGTCCCGGCGCTTCTGATCGCTGTAGTCCCGCGCGGAGTTGCTTGGAGAAAATCACGCTGGATGCGACCGAGGTCTCGCAAAGCAGCAACGCCATGAGCGCAGCAACCGCGACACTGCGAGTCCCGCCCACTGTTGATCAGATGAAAGTAAAAGCTATTCAGTTCCATGTATGGTAATTAGTTCCTTCTCTGCTGCGTGCATGGAAAGGAATTTACAGGTTTATTACTGATACTTCAATCAGTTGCATGTTATTTAAAATTAAATGGAGATGCTCACTTTTTGCATTTTCCTCATAAGCGCATGAGGTACCTAAAAAACTATCAAAAAATTAAACTTTGTTATTTTATTAGACTTTATTTTTGAAGTGATTTCGTAGAATGTGCGAATGAACTAAGAACGAAGTTAGCATGAATTAAAAAATGATTATATTATACGTATATAGTTTAATATGACAATCTATTTCTCGAGCACTCAATTCTCAGCATCATAATTGTGACCTCACATTGAAAATTGTGACTTACGAGTTCGTAATCAATGATTGTGACCTAAAATTATCAATGCCTCACATTTTACAATCAGGGTAATTTTATGTTTGAAAAGTAGGGATTCTAATTCCTTAGAAAAATGTATTGATCTATGCAAAATTCTGTGGATGACTGCATCGTAAAATATATTTTATTCGACTTACTTTTTTGGACTGAATAAAAATTCCAAGTCAATGCACGCTCGTATCTATCTGCGTGCTCGTGATCCGGTCTTCTTATTAGATTCTCGCTAATCATTAATAACACTATTTGCCTGCAAACAATACATAGAATTAAAATATTAAATGAATGATTCGGCAGTTTTCTGTGAAATTAATCTGATACTCCAACTACACGAGAAAAATCCGGTTCAGTTAACTCTCGTATAACTGACATCTTAAATGAAGCTGCGCCTTTTTAGAATAAACAAAGTTTCATGAAATTGCATAATTTTGTGAAGTTTTTGTGCTTACAAATTTCTGAAGCTAACATTATAAAGTTGCAATTTGTTTGTTTAATCCAACTGCTCACAAATATGAGACACTTCCAAAACGATGCGACTAGACAGGCTCAGCAGCATTTATCAATCCATTAATCTTATTTATCATTTATCTTCAAATGCACACATTCTATACAGATATCAAATCTGAACTCTGTCGTAATGATCAACGAAACGATTAATTTACTAATTTTTCAATGTTGTCGTGCAGAGGCCGCGTTTATCTATATCGGAGAGTTTCACAAGTACCTAATCGCACGCTTGGATCAATTGGCATTATTTGTAGGGTAAATGCGCCTTGTTTTCGGGTGGCCTGCTAGCAGACGACTGACGGTTGCCCTCACACTTCACCGTCGCTGACGATGAAATTCGCAGACTTTCCCTGAGCGGTGCGGAACTTTCCCTGGCGCTCCTCCCTCGAGCATCCGCACATGTGGACGCGTTCAGTAGCGAAACTCGTGCGTGTTCAGCCCAACACTGATGCATGCAAATGGACGGTGCGCGCTCGCTAATACTTTCATATATTTTCATGACCTTGCGTGTCACAGATTGGTAAGGAGTAAGAGATTTGCGACATGCAATACGGGATAGTAGAGAAATGTCTATCACATAATGCGAACAATGTAATAACTAACACGAATGGCTTTTTGCACAACGTATAATACAATATCTTTTATGTATAATACATAATGTAAAGATGATTTTTCAGTGGTATATATATTAATAATATGTTTTTAGTATGACATATACTGCAGAGATCATGACTTCACCGCAAATTTTAACAGATTTTTAGCTAAGTGCAGCCATCATGTGTTCATGTATACGGTTCGTGAAGAAGGTTATTATTATTATTATTATATGTAAAAAATTATTATATTATATTATTTTTTTAAAGTGAGCGTCTGTCGGCTACTCATTTACTAATCCTTTTTTACGTGTAGAAGAAATTAAGTTACGTATAAATTACACGAGTGCATTACATGCAGTTACTATAATGCATTACACTTATTGAAAGCCCTAACGGTTCTTCTCTTCTGTTTGCCAATAGATTAGATAATAATTTATAGAAGTTTAAGAAATTTAATTATTCTTTTTAACCATAATTATAATTTTCCAAACACAATAGGAGAGCAGAGATGACCTGCAATATTGTTAGAACTTTAATGCCATGCCAATGTGTTGTTTGAGGACAATTGTGTGTCATATTAGGTGAATATATGTATATCTGATAATAATTAGAATTAGACTATTAGTGTCATATTAGGTGAATATAATTATAATATAATAAGAGCGTAGCATTTCAACATACACGCTATAGTTGCCGCATATTGGCACTGCGATCCTCTGCACTGTCGCTGCTCTGATGACAGTGACACTTTCACTGTCAGTGTGGCGTCACACCATCTCACGCTGCGTGGCGTCACACCATCTCACGCTGCGTGGCGTCACACTCTCACGCTGCGTGCGTCACACCATCTCACGCTGCGTGCGTCACACCATCTCACGCTGCGTGGCGTCACACCATCTCACGCTGCGTGGCGTCACACCATCTCACGCTGCGTGGCGACACACTATCTCACGCTCCAGTCTAACCATGAACGCTTCAATCGTTTCCCAGCGTGAGTATCTCCGCCGAGTATCACTACGCTGAATGACTTGCACATCGTCAGCATTTATCCGATCAGCAAAATTTGTCCGTATCCTGTAAAAACGATGTAATAATGATAAGATTTGAATTAATATATATTTCGGCATTAAAAGAAAATATGAAAGCTAACGGTAGCTATGATGGTAATGAAAGTAGTTTGAGTAGGAACTGCTTGTATGAAAAGTATTAAATAGAATTGTGGGTAGGAAACTTTTTGAGTAGGAACTGCTTATATGAAAATTATTGAGTAGAATTGTAGGCAGGAAACGTTTTGTGTAGCAACTGCATGAAGGAAACGTTTCGAGTAGGAACTACGTATATGTGTATAGTCGCTGTTTGAGATCAACCTCCATATATTGCCATCGTCAGCTTTGTAGGAAGGAGCGTGATGTTGCAATTGTAATAACCTGATGGGTGATGAAGAAGTTCATCATATCTCTCCATGAGTGAGTGCCAGACCGATATTTTGTGACATTTTAAGAGAATTCCAATGAATAGAATTAAATTACATTGGAATATTAAAGTGCACTATTCGGAAATTTCTAATTTGAAATTTCAAATTCACCGTACAGGAACAGCGACAGAAAAAGTTACATTCTCACGATTATCGGTCACCTTATTAAGAAATTCCAATGAAATGAACCTAATTGACAGCAAAAGGGGTTACGTGAGCATGCATATAGTCAGCGTCGGACGACACTGATTTGCACAGTCAGTGGATAATATCCAATATGGTATATTAGGATATCCACAGGATATATTATGTACGCATTATCTACATGAAACAGACAGTAAAAATATGTATTCGCGCGTTGAACCGTCCAAAATTACTCATAGAAACCCACGTGATTGACTCGACGCCGGATGAATCAGGCACGTGAGAGGCGGTGAAATGCTGCTCTGTACGCACGCAGACACTCGAGCGTCTGCCCTCGTGCTCGATGCGGCGCACGTCAGGAGATTTTATAATCAAAGTATAAGCTTTTATATTTTCAAAATTTAAATTAGCCTCAGAGATGTCGAGGGCTCAAAAAATACCAAGGTATTGCATCTCTAACGGGAACTTCTAGTATAGACAAAGTTTTCCGTAGTTGTCGAAGCAATTTTAGCAATTGTGGGGCAGTTGTTGTGAATAGATGTTTATTACATTTTCATTAATGAAGTTTGTTATAATAGTGATGCAAACAATTTTAGGAATAAATATTTAAAACGAAATGATGTTGAATGATCTCGTCACTTTACGATAGCAGCGTTGACAGAAAAAGATAAAACGTTTTATATGGTAAATATTGAACGATACTGCATACATTATTTTATTCGGGAACACCATTGCCATAAACTTGACTCTACTCTCAGCAATCGTGGTGCAAAAAAACTAATTTGTAAAAGTCGAAAGTTCCGTAAGAAAGCCTTGTAATTATTATCAATTATCGAATGATGGTTCTTTATCTGCGGACATGTTGCCAATGCATGCAGTTATCGCGAAATCTATTAGCGATGCGCCATAGGCGTGCGAGAGACGCGGCAGATGGCGATAGCTCAGCAATTCTCCCGTAAACCAATGAGAAGATATAGAAGGAAAGGAAATAAGAACAAACTAGTCATATACATAGGTACAGCCACGCGGAGCAAGTGAAAACTACTTGAACTACGTTTGAAATTTCATGGAATGTTTGTACAGATATCAAGAACCGTGCATACAATTCTTAATGTGCAATAGTTCATGCAGCGGGTTTTTCTCTACATCTCAAGATATCGCTTGGGAATTTAACATCTGCTGCGGTAGATCCAGATAATCGATTTCTGGGAATGACAGATAACTGAACTAGAGACCGTATCATCGAGTCGGCCCGTGTTGAACAACTCACTAGTGCCTTGAACGTTGACTCCACAACGACTCCCTGACCCCGCCACCATGAAGGTTCTGCTGATTATTGCTACATCACTCAGCTTCGGCTACAGTTCAGTCTTGCCTCGTAAGTTATTTCATCATTGTGCACTCTAGAAATATTCCCTATCATAACAATGACCCTGATATACATGCAACTCGATGCGGACGAACCTAATTTTGTATTTGCAACACAAAATTGAGTGCATTAAAGTTTGCCGAAGAGTTGGTGAATTATGAGCTTTATATTTGGATACATTGTCCTACCTTAAAGTAAATATAATCTTAAATGTAACGTAATCTTAAATGTAACGTAACTGTCATCGTACAGAAAAGAAGCTCAGTTAATTTCATTAATTATCTGTTAAATTATTGATACTATAATTTCAACGATTATATTATATGAGCGAAATAATACTTATGCACAGCAGTTGATCCGATTTGTTGCGCTAGGCGTGACCGAGTGCAACGAAGGCTACTTCGAATGCAGCAACGGACTGTGCATCCCCAACTCGTTCGTGTGCGACGGCGTCTATGACTGCATCACTGGCAACGATGAGACCAACTGCAGCGGTACATTATTTGTTAATGATGATGTTATAAAGTTGATAAAGGCACAAAGTTCGTGGGAAACCGAGGTTAAGGGCCTTCCAATTAGATGACTAGAAAAGTTTCCAATTGTGTATCAATTGTCTTAACTTGTCAGAATGCATGAAATGAATAACAACATTAAATGATCACCGGAGTACTATTAATTAAGATATCAAATTGTTTGATGTCGTGCAGCCGCGGAAGACAAGACCGGTGACTGCAACGACGCCTCCTACCAATGCGACAACGGCTTGTGTGTTCCCATCAGCTATGTCTGCGATGGCGTCTATAACTGCATCGGCGGCGACGATGAACTCGGCTGTCGTCCCGGTGAGCTGGGCCAAAAATTAGGCCCAGATAAGTAAAATACAGCACGATATTGATGAAATTCTACATCTAAAATAAAATACAGAAAACCGTTGACCTATTCGTCCATTAGCGTCTCGATCGTCGCTGTGTCTCATTTGTCTAGACATGAAGCGCAATGAAACGATTATTGCGCTTCCTCCTTGTTTGGGCGTAGAAGAGAACGTTTGTACAATGATATGTCAAATTCTCGTGATGCTTAACTTTTATCCTGAGGACTGCTTGAATGCTCCAGGATAGTGCTGACGCACGCTATATATATTTTAGTTCTAAGATTTAGCGCTATTTATTTCTATCACTGATGTTTTTAAAAGTCATTTTAAGTGCAGTCTGATACCCGTTGACCTAATAAAATGACAAGGAATGGCAGAAAAATCCTTGACTGCGTTAATTATTTTCTACCAGCAGAGACCAAAGAAAAAAGCTTGGAGGCCAAAGATGGCTGTTCTGAGGAATACTTCACATGCAGCAACGGCCTGTGCATCCCAGTCGCGTATAGGTGCGACGGCGTTTACAACTGCGTCAGCGGCAATGACGAAACCGATTGCTCTTAAGCAGGGTCATTCATGTTATTAAGCTCTGCTGAGTACATGACACGGGTTTTATTACCACCATACTTAATAAACGTCAAAATTGAAATGTATTTAATTATTTTTGATCTCATTGCTACAATCCGTTCCCGAACAATCAAATCGAAAGTATATCATCAAATGGTATATTTTAAGGTTGGCATTTAGAATTCTAGAGGCGGTATGTTACGAACAAAAATTAATATACGTTTGATACACGTAATTGATTTAAATACATGAAATACCCACCGTTCAGGTACTGAGCTAAGCTGACCCCCAGTCGGGCACGTCTCGGGCTAGAGTATGGAATTTTTATGGTTTATTACCAGAAAAAAATATCAGATACTTTCTACCGTCTCCTTATTTTTACGCCTCCTTAGTTATGCTTGGTATTAGAATGCGTCGAGCTCTTGTGACATTGACCTTAATCATACATAAGACTGACGAAAAAATGAAGGAAAAATAATGATATAGTTTGTTAGGTCGCACATCACAGTATCTATCACTTGCCTGAACCTTGTGAAACTGGCGTATAATATTTAGAAGTGACCTTACTATTTCAAACGGCACAGTCGATTATACAGAAAATATAAAGTACTAAACATTCATTGCATATATTCATCTCAAAAGTATCGGAGTGTTTTATGATTTAGAGTTATACGCCAATTTGCGGCAAAACCCTAATAGAGAATTCGCCAAACACGCAGGTCCAGGACAAATATACGGCCGGACTCGCTGCCAGTCTCGCGGCTGGTCTCACGGCCAATCTCCAAACGCAGCTCAATAAATAACGCTCAATAATAAACGCAGCTCAATGAAACTTGGTACACGTAATTATTAGGACCTAACAGTGATGTTTAGCTTGTGAATTTTTTCCATTCCACCTTCATTCGTGAATTATAGAGCAATTCGGGCCGAATTTTGCAGTGACCAATGAATTGAATTTCTTCTAAACTACGGAACAGATTTGAAGGAAACTTTAAATATACAAACCTTACCTCCCAACGACGATGTTTAGCTCAGGAAATATTTTCGGTTTTACTTTCGTATTCGAGTATTTTGCTGTTTCAACTTCATTTGTGAGTTATACAGATAAGGGCCGAAATTCGCATTGACCAAGAAATTTCTCTTAGACTACTGAACAGATTTGAATGAAACTTTGAATATACATTCTAACCTCCCAACGGTGATGTTAAGCCAGGGAAAATTTTGTCGATTTGTCTTAGTTCGCGAATTGTACGGATATACCAAGAAACGACCGGAATTTCTTGGGCCGATTTTTAAATATGCATGACAAAGAGCTGTATACGTATAGCCGTAAAACTCGAAAACGAATGCTAAGTCGAAAAAATTGCCACGAGCTAAACATCGCCATTGGGAAGTTAGAATTGGAGATTCAAATTTTTATTCAAATCTGTTAAGTAGTTTAGAAGAAATTCTTGGTCACCGCAAATTTCAGCCCGAATTGCCGTAAATCTCACGAATTAGGGTGAAATGAAAAAAATATAACTCAGTACCCACTGCAGTGAGTGACAGAGAGAGCATTTTCTCGTCGACGAAAACTTGAGGTCACGGACAGACGGACGGACAGACAGACAGACGGACATGGCGAGCACAATAGTGCATTTTTTCATAAATGAGAAAATGCGCTAAAAACAAAACTCGCGAACGAATGTAAAACTGAAAAAATCGTGTCACGAGCCAAACATCACCGTTAGAAGGTTAGAAATGTACGTATATTCGGTTTCGTTCAGTTCTGTTTAGTAGTGTCAAAGAAATTTTTTGGTCACTGCAAGTTTCGGCCCGAATTACTTATAACTCACGAATGAAGGTGAAAAAAAATTCACAAGCTAAACATCACTCTTAGGTTCTAATGAATACGTGTACCAAGTTTCATCTAGCTGCGTTTATTACCTTGGGAGATATTCTTTGATCACAGAATTTGGAGATTGGTCGCGAAACCGGCCGCGAGACCGGCCGTAAATTTGACTTGACTTGATAAGTTAGACGCTTGAGGCCTTTCACAGAGGCCTGTTCGTCTCTTCGAGGCCATACTAACTTTTGTACTATTAGCAAAATGCGGGGGCGGCTGGGTTGCAAAAAAAAGTCAGTGTCTAGTTCTGGCATGATGGAAATTTGTTCCAGTCTTCAACTCAAACACGCGACCGTATAAGTGTCGAGCCGTCCTGTTCTGCAAAAAATTAGTCGATTACAGTCGTTTATCTTTGTCAGATGCTTGAACGACACTTGAATTATTGCGAGTATATGTCTCATATTTAAAAAGAATATTCAATACTCCAATTGTTAAAAAAAACTCACTTTGCATGCGCTTCTCTTAACTCACTTGTCAGTTAGCCCGTAGATGCGCAGTTCTAACGTCTTGAAACAGTCCGGCCATGATGGCTAAAATAAGGTAGTCGTAGGGTCGTGAATGAGAAATGTGTTATTATTTCTAATTGATGGTAGAAGCTTTGCGTGTGTCGCAGAAACCGGAGACTCAAATTCTTACATGTAGTATTTATTTGGTTTGTAGTTATATTATTTCATAAATTCGCCAACGCAGTAACGTTTTATCGACTGAAATTAGTTCAGCCGCATCGATCGTTCATCGTGCGACGTAACCGCTCATCTCGCAAGATTTTTTCTTTATTTTGTACATTCTGCCTGAAAACTTCATGACAATTCTGGTGAGTCAAGTTTTTTATATGAATTCTAAGATGTACCTAACCACTTTTTAGCTCTCTGAGCTGGATAAAAACTATTTAACCGGTAGGCTAAATTGACTGACATGACTTGGCCTAACTCTTAAAACGGTAACACCGTGCGTTAACAGTGTGTGCTCAATTTGGTCCTGTTTTTATACAATATTCTGTTTTAATGCTCGTTTAGTCGTTCGATGATAATCGATATTGTGTCACCAAATTTAAAATTGAAATCTTTTATTAATAAAAGTAGTTAATGACTAGGTATAAGTACCTACTTTTGAACTTTTGGTTATGTGTGGACTGTGGACAGTGGAGATGAGATGAGTTCTAAAAATGTGGGAAATTTCCAATTGGCTTTGAGTTTGAGAGTTGAGACTAATGTTGAATACCTAATTATTTTTTTTTGTAATTTTAAGGCTTGGGGCAATGCTTTTGTAGGGTAAACACACCATATTCTGAGACTTTGAGGACATAGCGACTAGCGAGAAAGGAATGGCTAGTCTATCATGTATAGTCATTACTCTTGAAAGTTGAAATTGATTTAGGCTACCTACTCATAGAAATTACTTCTGATTCTGAATTGGCAGTAATGCCATGGCAGTCCAGAGTGGAATTCTAAAATTGGTGGTCATGGTACACTTAAAAAAGCCTTTTGCCTTTAAAAAAATGTTCCAGGCAGTGGCAGGCACTAGAAACAGGTTTATAGGCTGTCAGAAATCAGCCTCAAAAATTGGCATGAATGTTAGTTAGCCGGGCCCTACGTTACGTTACGTCACGTGACTCACGTCAGGCAACACAGAGAAGGTCCCAAGATTGTTAATTGTGCGCCTCACTTGCAGATAAGCAAGAGGGATCTACAGAAGGAAGTACCATTTACTCCTGCCGTTCAAAGTTTCAACTTTACTGTACTTTCACCATAGGTGTAGCAGGAGAGACAATCAAGAGTCCTTGCATGTTAGGTTGAACATAATGGTTTCAAATTAAATATAAAAAACATTTATTGCACCTATTCTGTACGTCAGCTTTCAAATTGAGGATAAACACATTGGCAATTGGAGAAACTTCTCGAAGAAAATGCAATGCACAACATGACACTTTACTCAGTTGACTGATTAGAATAGAGTACTGTACTTGACAATTTAGCAATCAAACCTTTAGATTCTGTGAACCTTGTGATTTCTTCATTATTAAAACTTCAGAAGGCTCACAATTGATCGCGTAAAGTTTTCATTCAATTATCGTCTCTAAGTTCGGGAGCATTATTTGCAGTTAATGCAGTTACCTCACAGGCTCACACACCGATTGCCTAATGAGAACTAACAAGTAAACAGTAAACACTAACCATCATTCCTGCCACTTTGGCTGTTGCACACGATTGATTCTGCATGTATAACATTTACGATTTATGAAGGTTATTAAACCATTCTGTTGAATGTTAGTTACTGATGAATTTGTAATATAGAAGAATTCGTATCTATAATTTTTTCGCATTAGTATATTGATGGCTGGTGTCCCTGTGGCCTGCTACCTTCTTTGTTTGTTTTTCGTCAAGTTGGTAATCCTGATCGTAATGGGAGTAGTTTCCATGTCTCAGCTTATTGCATCAGTGGTCAGTTTTGTATTTGTGGATTGAATCATAGGTAGTTTTTCATGTATTTGTTAATGAATGTACATAGTGAAGATGTTATTCTTTGCGATTTCCATCAATAATGATATAACTACATTATTGTATTACGCACTTGAAATAAGAAGTGTAGCATTACGCATTAAATTAGCATCAGTGCATTAACATTGTGTGCATTTGGGGCGGTCCATTCTAGCTTTCTAACGCTGATTGGATTCCAGTGGCTGTGACGTTGGATGCGTTCAAGCGTTGATTGGATCCTTGTTACTGTGATGATGTAAGCTCTATTTTTTTTTCAATGAAACAGCTGTGGCAGCTTGCAGAGACTTGTCAGTGATGATGATGGACTGAAAGTGTAGGTATGCTGGGCTTTCCAGATTTTTAGGTCATGCTTTCCGAATTGCTATGTTTACCAGTTAATATATTACCCCTCTGGAATTCCACACTGCGTGATGGCACTAAAGCAGAAAATTGGGCAGACACAACCTGTGAGGCTATGAAAAGGGCATAAAGTAAAAAAAGCCTGGGAATCAGTCCAATTCCACCTGTTCCTATGACTTTTTCCCAATTTCTTTAGTGGAGGATGGAATATATATCAAATAGGAATATATCAAAAGTGATAAATGGGGCACCAGACCTGGGCCAGAAGCCTCTATTGTGATACCAGGTCCTAATTACAGCAGAAATTAGCTTTGCCATTGTGGAACAGTTTTCTTTCTGGAGTCTTTGTTTGATTATAGCCCATGAGTTTTCAACAAGATTGATGTCTGGAGAATTTCCAGGCCAGTATAAATTATCCAGTCCACTTACTTCAAAGAATGTGTGCATTGTACGTGAAGTATAGCATGCATTGTACGTGAACCTGTTGAAAAATGCCATCTCCATCAGGAAAGTCCCTTGTCATACTAGGAAGCAAATGACTCCAAAATAGCCTTGTATGTATCACTATTCATCATTCTCTCTATGTTAATGAGTTGTCCAAGGCCTTTAGCATTAAAACCACCCCAAAACATCTTAGGTGGATGTTTGCTAGGTGGCATTTTTTATGAATGACAGTAGAATAAATAAGAACCATAACCCATAAAACAATGAATCTGAAATGTGTAAATCACACATATAATTGACAATTGAATTCTAAGTAGACTAATATGCCAACCCACCATCATTCATTTGTACACAATAATTTAGTTATGGTGTCATTCTATACCTGAAAAAAGAAAAAGACATAGGGCAATATTAGACATGATTCCATTAACTATTATTAGCATCAGCATGAAATATGACAAATAATAAACATGTTTGCAGCAAATTTAAACAAAGTTATGAAATGGAAAAATATAACTCAGTACTCCATGCAGTGAGTGGAAGAGCGCATTTTCTCGTCGACAAAAACTTGAGGTCACGGATGGATGGACAGACAGACAGACGGACAGACATGGCGAGTACAATAGTGCATTTTTTCCATAAATGAGAAAATGTGCTAAAAATAGACAATTGTGAGCTAAACGCATAAGCTTTGTCTGCTCCTAAGATAAACCCTGGGAACACTGCTGTTGCTGCTTTGAGTCTACTATTTGGCAATCTTGTCAATTTGGACATTCATGTTAGAATGATGTGGAATCTATGAAACAACCATGAGATATCTCCTGCAAACTGTGTTGTATTTTTGCAATTGCAACTGCAGTTTTTTGTACTTTTTTTTTGTAATCTTTATTGCACTAATAATCTATGATCCAATGCCAATAATTTTAATGATCAATTTAAATGAATTTTTTCAAATGTGTAAAGCAACTATCTATAATGTAAGTCTCTTAAGTATGCCCACTTCAATCTGGGTTCCAAATTAAAAAAAAATCCATTTTGTATAAGAATACAAGTATGACCAGGTCCTCTATCATGCACTGCAGTCATAACAGCCAAGTCATTCCTTCAAATCAAAGTGTACTGTCAACCAGGGCTACTGGGGACAGTTTTGAGCATTTTTTTGTTAATAACTGTTAATAATTTCTTACCATGAAACATTTCATAAACAAGTTAAGCTCATTTTATAGCTCTTTGTGAGGGCTATTGAATGGCATCCAGGGCTATTGAATGGCATGGTCAAAAAATTTCCATATGCTATTCCTAAGGTGCCAGAAGCAAAAAAAAGTGTCCAGAGTAGCCCTGTCCGGTACTCAGGACACTTGCAATAAAACTTCATTTTAAAATATTTGAAGCATGCAGAGTGTACTCATCCATTACTAACAGTACTCTGAAGTCCTCCTCTTTCATTGTAGATGATGTAGAGGTAGAATAAATGACATCTTCAGTGATTTCTACTTGTTTTTCCTTTATTGATATTACCATAAACATTAATTACCTTCAACTGGGGTGACTTCAGCTGTGTTTTAGATTTTGTTTTGCAAACAAGAACTGGGGTCATAAACACCAGGGTCGTAAACAAGGTCATAAACGCCTGAGTGACTACTTTGGCCATCCTTTATGACCCTGCTTGTGTTTGCAAAACAAAATCAAAAACACAGCCAAAGTCACCCCAGTTGATGGTACCATATTATTGATGTGATATTACTGTATTATTGATGCTATATTACCCTCTCCATGAACATGCCATTGAACATTTACAATAACCTTGTCCACTGCAAGCTTCATATCAGCAGCCTTATAGCATTTTTTCTGTATCTGTAAGCTCACAGGAGGGCTTGTAATTTCACACCATTTTAATTGGGTTGAGTGAATTTACTATAAAAAAATATAACTCAGTACTCACTGCAGTGAGTGACACAGAGACGAAAACTTGAGGTCACAGACAAACGGACAGACAGACAGACAGAGGGACATGGCAAGCACAATAGTGCTAGTTTATGCACCATGCGCTTGTTTATATGCCTTGCCCTCATTTATGCGGCCATTTCAATTGGGTTAAGTGAATTTACTATAAAAAAGATCATGAAAAACATACCTGAAACAGAAAGGAAGGTTTTAGTGACAACCATCATATATTTTGGAGAAATAAATAATAGTTTAGGTCAGTTACTTCTCATTCTATGATGCCCGATGCACAATTATATATATAGCATTCTATGTACCATTTTGGCTGCCATTTTTTTTTTTTTTGAATGAGATAGGCAAATTGCGTCAATCGATCATTCAGGCCTACACCTGTGTTCAACTTTTATGCATGCAAAATTTTTTAATATGGGAAATATTCTTTTTGCTCTAGACCTTAGTGGAGGTACTTTTCCAAACTCACACTTTTTTTTCAACGATATTTTAGAGATAGTAAATGTATGATTTCTTAACTAGCTTTATACATAATAGATTGTAAATATGTTGACGTTTACACCACTATTTTAAGCTG